CGTGACTAGAGGTGTTCGTTATCTGAGGTAGCACTGCAATTATAAGTGCCTCTTTGAAATAAATGTAATATTTGTACTGTGTTGTTTTTTTTTTGGCGTCCCAATGTAGCTTAGGTATTGCGGATTGCCTGTGCGTTGGTTTTAACAGTGCTACCAAGAGCTAACCGTTCAGATGGCAAATGGCAAAATACTAAACGTAAAATTTGCCTAGAAAAACCACAACAGCCAAAAAAATGCAGGGGTTGGTTCTGCAATGTCCTGTAAAGGATACGCAACTAACTAACTAACTGTGTTGTCTACCTTTGAACCATAGTACAGTTATCTTTTTCAGTCTTCTTCTTGTTTGCATTCACTGGCTGTAAACTCCAGCTGAAAGTTATGGTTGTTCGTCCACCTCTGAACTTTAGCCTTGTTACAGAACCTGAGTGTTGCGTGCACATATGTTTTACATATTTAACTTATTTGTATGTAGACTGTTGGTTCCTTGCCTCTCAGGCAGATGCACTCTGACTTCGAAGGAAGCTCCCAATTAGTTGACTCTAACAACATGCTTGTTGGGGAGGCAGTAGGTCTATTCTTGTTCTTCTCACAATGGGGCCCCAAAATGCAAATGGGGAACAGTAATATTTAAAGTGGTTTACATTTTTTAAATTAAATATATTCTGGTAATCTTTTGAACTTAGTGTTGAGTGTTTAGCTAGGAGCTCACTTCACAACACTTGGAACATTCCCATAAGCACTCTGTCCTCATCTTCAGCAGACAGTGAAGAGTTCTTATTTCTATGGTCCCAGTGGCAGTTTGATTATATGTCCGTCTTGCCTTTTCTCTGTATGTGGTCTTGACAGGATCCGCTAGTCACTCCTAGCTGTACCATTCTCTCCACACAATAATGATCTATTCTTGCTTCCACAATGTTCCTGGGTCTCAAAAGCCTTTGATCCCATCTAGCTTGTTGAACATAAATTCACCACCAATTGGTGCAGAACTGGACAGTCTGTCTGCCTGTTCATTTCACAACACTCCTTCATATCCTGGAGAAAATATCCAAAAAACTCTAACTACATGGGACCTCTGAAGCGATGACTGTCACTCTGCACAGAGCATACTTGCCTTCACCTTTCTTAACCTGCTTTTATGAGTCAGTTACAATCATAACATGTGTGTGCAGCAGAAAGTTAGATAACATCAAGATGGAAATGAAGAGAATGAACATCAACATATTAGGAATTAGTGAAATGTGATGGCCAGGAGCAGGGGAAATGTATTCAGATCAGTACAGAATTATTTACTCGGGTGGGAAGGAATACAGTAAGGGAGTTGGTATTATTTTGGATCCAAAGAACTCAACAACTGTGAAAGGATTTTGGACAATATCAGATAGAGTACTATTAGTAAAACTTCGCGGCAGACCGCTTGAAATCAACTTAGTACAGATTTGTGCCCCAACAGCAGATAGTTCAGAGGAAGATATTGACGCATTTTATGACGAGTTAGACATGGCTGTTGATCAATGCAAAAATTGTGAAGTAACAATGATACTTGGAGATTTCAATGCGAAAATAGGAAGTGAAAAAGTGTACGGAATAACGGGTGGCTATGGCCTAGGAGAAAAGAATGTGAGAGGTGACAGATTAATAGCATTGGCTGAGTCACGCAGCATGATAATAGGTAACACCTGGTTTAAACACCATCCTCAAAGATTGTGGACTTGGAAAAGTCCTGGTGAAAATGTCCGCAATCAGATTGATTATATTTTGATTTCAAGAAGATTCCGGAGCAGCTTAGTTGGAGCAAAAACTAGACCAGGGGCAGACTGCTTTAGTGACCATGTTCCAGTTGTAGGAAAAATTAGAATAAAACTATTAGAAAAACACCACAGAACATCAAGTTAAATTTAGGAATTCTTAGAACGGACAAAGAAATTAGGGACCAGTACAATGTCACTGTACAAAACCGGTATAATGCAGTGGAAATTATACAGACAATTGATGAACAGTGGGATATGTTGAGTGAGTCAATTCAGCAGACGTCTAAAGAGACAATCCCACCAACCCGTAGATTTGCAAAAAAGAAATGGATGTCAACCGAAATTCTGCAGTTGATGGATGAAAGAAAGAAGAAAAAGAATGATAAAGAAGAATACTCTAAAATGCAAAAAGAAATAGTGAACAAAATCAAAGTGGCTAAAGAAGCCTGGCTGAATCAAATGTGTACAGAGATTGGGGAAAACAACAGGAAAGACTCACATTCCATGTACCAACAGATAAATAGGTTAACAGGAAAGATGACATGTAACAGCACTGGATGTTTGAAATCAAAAGATGGTGACTTATTAATGGGACATAGTAATATAATTAACAGATGGACAGAGTATATAGGGGAATTGTATGATGATAATAGACCAGATATAGAACTGCAGACCAACAATGATGGTCCACCAATAATGACTGCAGAAGTTGAGGATGCAATACATCATATGAAGAAAGGAAAAGCACCCGGGCCAGACAACATCTCACTGGAAGAAATCGAAGCACTGGGAGATTTTGGAATTGAAATGATAACTGAACTTTTAAATGATATTTATAATAGTGGGTATATTCCAAATGACCTTTTAAAATCCATATTTATAGCTCTGCCTAAGAAACCAGGCACTATAAAATGTGAAGACCATTGCACAATAAGTCTTATGAGTCAGTCACATGACTAAGATTTTACTGGGAATAATTATGAGAAGAATAAGAAACAAAATTAAACCAGAAATCAGCGATGAACAATGTGGATTTGTAGAAGGAAAAGGTACAAACAATGCCATATACATCCTAAGGACATTGTCAGAAAGAGCTATAGAAGTAAAGACTGATTTGTACATATGCTTCATAGACTATACAAAAGCATTTGACTGTGTGAAGCATGAAGCAGTAATCAAACTGTTAGAAAAATTAAACATTGATGGGAAAGATCTACGAATAATAAAGAATATGTATTGGCAGCAAACAGCAGCTATAAGAATTAACAACTGTTTAGGTACATTTCAAAGCATAAAGAGGGGCGTACGACAAGGATGTGTACTGTCACCTGATTTGTTTTCAATATACAGTGAATATATAATGAGAGCTTTAATTGGTATGCCCGGAATTGTGGTTGGTTAGCACAATATAAACAATTTACGTTATGCTGATGACACAGTCTTGATAGCAACAAGTCAGAAAGAACTACAGGAAATGATAGACATTGTGGTGTTAGAAAGTGGAAAAATTGGCCTCAGTTTGAATAATGGGAAGACAGAAGTAATGGTGGGATCAAAGAAATGAATTATTCCCAAGTGTGTAATAAAAGTTGATGGTGTTGTTTTAGGACAAGTACAGAAATTTAAGTATCTGTGCACATGGATAACATCAAATGGAAGATGCATAACTGAGATAAGAAACAGAATATAAAGGGCAAAAACTGCATTTTATCAAATGAAAAACATCTTGTGCAATATATCCTTGTCATTGAGAGTTAAAAAAAGAATTCTTGCTTGCTATATACATCCAGTTTTAACATATGGCTGTGAATTCTGGACAATCGGTAGACAGGCTAAACAATTTCTAGAGGCCTCAGAGATGTGGTTTTACAGCAGAATGCTTAGAATACCTTGGACAGCAAAAAAGAGCAACAAGAAGTTTTGAAAGAGGCGGGAGCGCGAAGACAACTTATCACAGACATCAGAAGGAGACAGTCATCATTTTTCGACCATGTTATGAGAAGAGAGAAAATAGAATATGTTGTGACCACTGGAAAGATCTGTGGAAGGAGAGATAGAGGAAGACAACGAGAGAAGATGCTTGACAGTCTTGTTGCATGGCATGGAGGTGTGTCGGCATATGAATTGATACATGGTGCAGGAGATCGTAGATTATGGAGAGGCATGATCCCCAAACGCCAGTCGGCAAGGCACCTGATGATGATGATGATGATGATGTGTGCAGCTAGTTATCAAGATAATGGAAAGCTGATGTGACTGCCTCCACCTCCATTTTTAAAATAGATGTAATAGCATCATATACTAGACTTTGCTGCATTAAGCAACCTCCATCACAGTGAACCCTCACTGATTTCTTTTGCCTCTCACAGAGCAATCTGTATAGATATTCACATCATCTAGGTGGTTATTATCATGAATCAATTGTTGAATTTCTGGTTCCTATTGCTGCAATCCTGGCCATGTGTGATTAGAATCTCTCATTTTTGTCCCCCTGTATACCTACATCTCTAATTGTGTATTCTACTTGTGCCATTCAAGACTTCCGTCTGATCACTCTGTGACCCTTAGCTGTATCCAGGGCTTCATGAATAAGGTGGGGTTTTTTGGCGGCTCCCCTTAGGTATGACCTAGCTTGCAGCACTTTTAACTTGTCTGAAATAGTTGACAGTGCAAAGATGTATCACATACAGGCTGCTGGAGTGTCTCTGTCTTGTACATTCTCGAATCACCCACATGACTTCCTGCTGTATGTATTCAAGTTTCACCAGCTGACTCTTCAGCTGGTGAGCAGCTCCAGTCCATAATCAGTTACTGAAAGAAGCAAGTGCTGGAACATTGTAAACTGCATTCTTGTCTCCATAGCCATTGTTTAGGGTGATCATGATATCCTGAGCTGAAAACGGGACATCCCATTAATATTTTGAGCTGAAAACAGGATATCCCGAGCAAATCAATTAACAGGATGAGCAAGGTTGCAGAACTTGTAGCACCACATGTGGGGAGGAAATTAACATTTGCAAATAATATTTGCAGATGACATTTGAATTGTGTGAGGTAACATCAAAGTGTAGACTTTCTATATTGCAGTATATACATGTGTTTGTGTGTGTGTGTGTGCGTACCCACATGTGCATGCATGTGTGTGTGTGTGTGTGTGTGTAACTAATACTGTTGCCTATAGCTGCATGAACATTTTTTGTATATTACATTCCCCTAGGATTGGACTGGAACAGTTGACACAACACTGACAGTATGATAAAAGCCCTCAAACAAAAGGCTGTGTTTTGGTGCATGGCTATTTATTATGGGATTCTGGTAATTTATGAACTTCTGCGTGAAGGAATCAAAACTGGCATCAAAGCTTTCCAGGTGAAACCATTACCTCGTCCATCATGTCTTGATGACCCTACACTAGGAACACACAATTACCTTCACCTAGAGGTGAGCACATGTATGGTTATTTAATATGACAGATTGACAAGCAAAAATATGATGTGCTTGCATTTCATGTGAATTTATGTAGCAAATATGTTTTTCTGGGCTAACAATGCCAATATTTGTCATTGTATATTTAATACTTTCAAAATGTTTATTTTCTTGGATTTTCAGTAGCCTCACAGATTTGCCCATGGTCTCACACACACACAGATTTTGTGACAGTTCTACTATATTCTTATAAAACTGAAATATGAAATAGAGCATAGCAGTTATGTTTCTTTAGTCATGCTTTTTTTTAAAATAGTTCTCCACCAGGATTGCTGCCTCAAAGATAACACCCACTGACTTTATATTCAACAGTTCAGCAGTTACATTGGGGCACACTATGGCTACTAAGTAACTGCTGTTCTGTGTAAAAAGGTAAAATCAGGAGATGTGAACCAGTGTCATTGCACACGGTTATAAACCATAAGTCCTCTGTCACCAGTACGGACAGCTGATAAAAAACTGTCCGCCTGTGTCGCCATCCGCATGCAACACCGTAGCTACAGCGACGTTACTCCATTTACCCCAACTCTGGTACCCATTACCTATAGGCTAGGTGAACCCCAGGAACCGTCCGGTTTAAAATACACCAGCCGTGGGCTGCAGCCAGTTGCAGCTGGATTTGAAAGCAAGTCTCCTATTGACTGCGCTAACTGTGTGGCCGAGTAATGTCTACTGTAATTTAGATCATATATTATTGCCTTTCAATTTTTTATAGTTGGAAATCTTATATAGAAGTTGTCATTACTAACCACCATGAGATTTTATTACAGTTTATTCTTATTTTATTTAGAAAATGTTCCAACAGTCATATATTTATAGAACACAAACCTTGTAAACATGGACATGACAGACCTCACTGTAGTTTCCACACAAAAAATTGTATGGATCCTCTTGTATGAGAGATACAGAATTTGCCTCCAACTCAAACAATGACTGCTATGAATCCAGCTGAAAATCTGGCAAGACCAGATTTATGGTAAGGTGACATGTTTAAACAATCTTACCACATATCTGCGGGTTTCAGGCCTGAATAACTTGGCATGATATTATTTGAGGAAATCTACAAACTGACAGCTAACATGATTTCAGGGGCCTTTCCTAACAAACTGCATTTAAATACTTTTAAGATGTTTTTTTTCAGGCTGCCACCATTATGTGTTTCATGTACATGTGTGTGTGTATGTTTGTAGACGTGTATGTGTAGAATTTAAACTTCTTCAAGAGCATATTAAAAGAACATCACCATAAATGTCCTAAACATACTTGCTACACAACTCTATGGAGCAAACATAACTACACGGCTGGACTAGAATATTGAAACTTCTTATGGTGTTTAAAGAAGGTGGAATTCATTTAACTGGATTTGATCCTAAACATGGGCACCACAAGAGACAAAAACCTGGGCTGGTTAAGAGGGTCTGGAAATGGGGAAAAAGAGGGAGGGGGGTGGCTTGTTTAATTGCCTCCAAATGAAAACACCAATTATCATTGTCATTTTCATTACTGAAACTCCCAAAATTTGTGGGAGGCTGAGGGCCCCTCCTACATAAAATGTGCAGGGGGGGTACATGCCCCCCCCCCCCCCCCCAATAATGGATAGTGTATAGATGTTCCCTTTATTAACTCTTTGAAGTCCCAAGGAGCGCATCATACTTTAATAGGTTCCTACCAAGAACAGTTGAGGTTTATATAATCCTTTGTTGAAAATACTTTTTTTTTCTGGGGCCCCATTTGGGGAAAGTTCAATTATTTTTCTATCTTTTAATGACATATTTTTTACCACAGGATATTCTTAATTACATGAGGTATAGTTTTCACTTGTTCTGGGTTGTGTTTTTGTGTGTGTGTATGTGTCTTTTCTATCTTTGGTGAGTGATAGGGCCTCCAGGTACCTCGGTCCCCGGGTTTTGGTGCCACTGATCCCGCATCGAGATCTCAGAAGTCTCCATGGTGAAGTGGTCAAGCCGTTTGCCACGCTCTTTGAAGGTCGTGGATTGATTTGATGGCTGCACCCTTAAGTTCACAAGTGCAATATTTACCGAGATCCTTGGTGATCATCACCGGAACTACAGAGTTCATGCTCTGTGCGGCATTCTCAGCAGGGGACTAGCCATTTTGTGGATAGAGACCGAGTCATATTGGATAAAACCCAGTGCAGTGAAGTCGAACCTCTCGACTTTAACCTTATTTAAATTTTGATCCCATATGGTTCGGTCACTGTCTGCACAGTGACTGACCAGCTGTAAAGAACATCATATAAAGCCCCATAGCTCCTGCAACTTTCACTGGTAACAAACAGCATCTGTGAGAAATGTTATTCAGTGTGGGGCACTTTGGGAGCTGTTGTGGGATAGCTAACTTTATTGTAACACTATAATTTGACTGATATCAAGAACTGTGTAAACCTACTTACAGGATGTCACTATCCACTATGTTGCAAGTGGACCTGAAGATAAGCCCCTTATGCTGTTTGTGCATGGCTTTCCAGAATTTTGGTACTCATGGAGGTATCAGATCAGAGAGTTTCAGAAAGATTATAGGTATTTTATCAGAGATTTCTTTTAGATTTTTTTAGTGTAACTTGTCTTTTTTTAAAATTGTATTCATAACATCATTCTTATCACGCCATTAAGCGTCATAAAAAGGAAACATATTCATTATCTGTGACACATGTGTATGACTTTTTCCCGCAAAATCTGGATCTGTGGTTGACTTGTAAACATGTCTGTTATGCAACATCTTTCATCCTACAAAGGCACAGGCAAAAAAAATGAGATAATAATTAGGAAAGTGGAAAAGAGAAACTATCAATGGAAGTAAACAGAAGAATAAGTTTACGAGGAATGATAACCCAGTTAAAAAAAAAAGGTGTGATTGAGTCAGAAGTGCTGGCCGAAAGGCGCAACTATCACAGCTGTACTGTAAACAAACACAACACAATTATGTTACTCAGACAAATGATGAAAAAGAAGGTTCCATTTCTTAGACTCAGAAATAAATAAATGAACAGTTTCTAGAGAAACTAAGAATGCAAATAAAGTGAGAAAAGAAATACAAAATTGATTTGTCACATATTATGATCACATTTTAAGACATGACTTATATCTGAGCGAGAATGGAAGCATTAAAATATTAGATGGATTTGCTGCAAGCAAGAGATAAACACCAGTATAAGGTGGGGGAGGGGGGCACCAAGACTAATAGAAGCTTTTCCAACTTCACCAGTAGAGCAAGAGACAGAAATTGTTGATCTGTTGCAAGCAATCAGCCATCTTCATCATGGGGACAGAACTGACTTGATCTACAAATATTGTCCTGAAAATGTGACAGCTGTCATATTTTCTATGAGTTTGATATCTGTCTTACATAAATCTTTTATCATGGTATCACCTACAGGTACTTTATTATCTCTATATATTTGCTGTAGGCTTCTATATCCGTCCATGAGTGAGTGAGCTCAAATCTAACAAAGGTTTCTAGTCTTTTGTGTAAGGCATTTTCTGGGACAGTTTCATTTACAAATGGAGTTCAGAGGTTGTCTTTGTTTTAAACCAAGTATACTGAAATTGAGGAGTAAATGGCCAAATGGTTAGAACTCAGGGTTCTCAAGCAGGAAACCAGGGTTTGATCCCTGGTAAGGAATGGAGATTTCTTATACAAGGGTCAGAATTACAATCCAAACCTGTACAATTCATGGCAACTGCACTAGCCATGCCACTTTAAATCCTCAGGCTCACTACCACCCTGCCCTACACCACCAGGAGATTAGTATTGGCAATAAAGACAGTACTGAAGGTAGTCAAATTTCTTATCTTTGAAAGATGTCATTTGTTTTGGCATTGATCTTTATGCCATTTAAAAAACAGAGGAAAAAAGCAGGTGAATGTCTAGCTACTGAGCTACAGTGGTACCCTCTAATGGTTATGTGCAAATGCTTTACTTAATCCCAAGTGTATTTCCACATTTACATTAGTTTCTTTTAAAGTAAACTGTAAATAAACCTTTTTTTACTATCAGTAAGTCATCTTGGGGAAATGTCAGGCCCGCACTCAGGATAACAGAACACCAAACGAAAGATTCACATTCACTTCATAACAGGATCAGAAGAAGTATCACAATGTTCAGAAGAAATTCACCACTAACACTAATGATTAAGTTGAGTCAAGAATTGACAACACAGCACTCGGGGCATTCCTAAACACGCTCCGTCCCCATCCTCAGCAGCCAGCGCAGTTCCAATACTAATGGTGGCACTCGTAGTCTGGCTGTATGTCAGTCCTGTCTTTCCTTTTTTCCACTAATGATTGGATTCAGGATACCACAACCTTTTTAAAACATACATGAAAACTAAACATGGCAACATCACACGCTCCTTTAACTTACATTTTGAGACAGTTGGTATGACAGAACACTCACTCATTCATTATCATCTTAGCATTATATGCCACATAGAGCCTGCAGTCTTTCCCTCTTTTCTGTTGTGCCCTGTGCAATAAGTTCAGTAGCTTTGACCTCTCTCATGAACGTTCATTGGGGAGGGGGGGGGGGGGGGGGCCATCCTCGCCTCCTAAGTCTCTTTATTTCCCATTTTAATGCCTGTTTGGCGATTCTCTGCTGGTTTTTTTCTCATGATGTGTCCAGTGTAACGCCATTTTCTCTGTACGCCATCTTCTCTGTCTTATAATCTTATAACTGTTGATACTAGTGGTTGCCCAGACATTTATTTCTTCAAACCTTTTTAATTCATCCCATTTTTTGTCCACAAACATTTGTTTTCGAATACATTAGAATTGAAAATTCTTAACTTGGTTTTATAACTACACAATTTAGAGCTCCATATTTTGTTTTTTCAAGCTTCTAAAAGCTGCTATGCCTTGCCTGTGTGTCATAATTTCTTTCTATGTATCTTCTTCACTATCAAAATTACTAACCAAATAAGTAAATTGATCTGTTACTTTTTCTCTAGTATTACATCTGCTTAATCTGTTGTTGGTGTCTTCAGTATATTTTTCTTTTCATAACTTATTTGTGGTTAACCCTTGATGCTAAATCTGCTGTATCATCTGTTTTCCTTTGCAGGTCATTTCTGTTTTTATATTTTATAAATATGTATGTATGTATGTATGTATGTATGTACACACGTACGTACATTTGTATGTATTTGTGTATGTATACACACACACACACATATATCTATATTTATATATATATATATAGATATATTGTAATAGTTTTAAAAACCAAGTATGTATTTTCAATTCTAATGTTATTTTGTGGCAACATATGCCTGTGAAAGTTGGAGAACAAAAAAAAAGACTTGGACCGAAAGTTAAATGCATTTAAAACAAATGCTTGGGGACACTGATAAGCGTTAAGTGGGGTGAATTCAAGAGAGGTGAAGAAATAAGAGAAACGTCTGGACAACCAGTGGTGTTAACAGTTATAAGACAAAGAAGATAGCCATATATCAGGCACACCCTGAGAAGAAGCAACCAGAAAATCACCACAAGCACTGAAATTGGAAACAGATGGACTAAGGAAATGAAGACATCCAGGATAGGCCATAAAACTAATGCTGATAAGAAAGGCTGAAGGAGCTAGACTTTTTTCCATTAATGATATCAAAACGATTGCACAGGATAAAAGGGAATGGAGCGTCAACTGCATGTCTGTGTGACACATTGTGGCACAACAGGATGGTGCTGATGAATTTCAAATTGTATTTGTGATCTGTGTACCCATGGCAGTAATGTATTAAATTTTTTAAAAAATGTAATAAATAAATACCCACTTGAGATTGGTACAGTCTGGTTTCCTTGCCAAAAGCTGACACCTTTCTTTTTTTATATATTATATACAGCTTTATGCCAGATAAGTCTAGTTCTGTAATATTTTTATATTTTTTTCTAAACGACTGTCTTTGCATATGGTGAATCCGAGTTATTGTAAGTTTGTCACGTCTTAGCTATTTCCGTTGAACATGATATGGGCTGTTTTATATAATAATATCAATATACATTGTGTTGTCCATTCAAGAAGACACCTTCCCCCCCCCCCACACCCCAAAACGTAGACTGTATATTTATGTGGGTTTTATCGATGATGTGGGTTTTCTCAATGCAGGGTAGTAGCAATAGACCAGCGTGGATATGGTGACTCAGATAAGCCTTCTGGGATAGACGAGTACTCTGTGAAAAAGTTGGTGTCTGATATCAAGCATGTCATACTTGCATTAGGTTCGTATCTTGCCTTTTTTTTTTATTGTTTTGTGAAGAAATATTGTGAGCTAATTATTCCAAGTAGTGTTACCTATTTACTTTTATCAAGAATTTTGGTGGCTACATGGTTAGTTCAGTTCTTTGCTGACAGTGCTCGAGGTTCAATTCCCCAGCACAGCAGAATTCCAACTGTATTCAACTGTATCCAACTGGTATAATTCTGACATCACCTCAGCTTCTTAAAAATATCTGCAAGATGGCAGTTCTCTCACCCTTCTTAAAATATCAGCAAGATGGCAGTTCTCTCACCCTTCTTAAAATATCAGCAAGATGGCAGTTCTCTCTCCCTTCTTAAAATATCAGCAAGATGGCAGTTCTCTCACCCTTATTAAAATATCAGCAAGATGGCAGTTCTCTCACCCTTCTTAAAATATCAGCAAGTTGGCACTTCTCTCACCCTTCTTAAAATATCAGCAAGTTGGCAGTTCTCTCACCCTTCTTAAAATATCAGCAAGTTGGCAGTTCTCTCTCCCTTCTGAAAATATCAGCAAGATGGCAGTTCTCTCACCCTTATTAAAATATCAGCAAGATGGCAGTTCTCTCTCCCTTCTTAAAATATCAGCATGTTAGCAGTTCTCTCACCCTTCTTAAAATATCAGCATGTTGGCAGTTCTCTCACCCTTCTTAAAATATCAGCAAGTTGGTAGTTCTCTCACCCTTCTTAAAATATCAGCAAGATGGCAGTTCTCTCACCCTTCTTAAAATATCAGCAAGTTGGCAGTTCTCTCACCCTTCTTAAAATATCAGCAAGTTGGTAGTTCTCTCACCTTTCTTAAAATATTAGCAAGTTGGCAGTTTTCTCTCACCCTTCTTAAAATATCAGCAAGTTGGCAGTTCTCTCACCCTTCTTAAAATATCAGCAAGATGGCAGTTCTCTCACCCTTCTTAAACATATCAGCAAGTTGGCAGTTCTCTCACCCTTCTTAAAATATCAGCAAGATGGCAGTTCTCTCACCCTTCTTAACATATCAGCAAGTTGGCAGTTCTCTCACCCTTCTTAAAATATCAGCAAGTTGGCAGTTTTCTCACCCTTCTTAAAATATTAGCAAGTTGGCAGTTATCTCTCACTCTTCTTAAAATATCAGCAAGTTGGCAGTTTTCTCACCCTTCTTAAAATATCAGCAAGATGGCAGTTCTCTCACCCTTCTAGAAAATATCAGCAAGATGGCAGTTTTCTCACCCTTCCTAAAATATCAGCAAGATGGCAGTTTTCTTGTTCTAAAAATATCAGTAAGATGGCAGTTTTCTTATTCTAAAAATATCAGCAAGATAGCAGTTCCCTCACCTAAAGGAACTTGTTAACCTCTCATGAAATCACTAAATTATATACAATAATCCTGACTGAAATTCTAGCTGTACATTCTTGACATTTGAATATGCAATGTTTCAACTCACATTAGTTAGCCATAGATAAAAATTGCAGCTTTTAAATTATGTAGATTTAATTTGTGTTTTGTAGATTCAAAATAGTAGAGTTGAATGTGAGTAGAGATTGAATCAGCCAAAAAGAGATAGAGGGAAAGTATACAGGTAGACTTAGAAACCCTTGGAGTCACCAGCCTGAAAGAGAAAGCCAATCACAGACTTAATGAAGGCAGGAGATATCTGCAGCAATGAATCTCAGAGGCTCAGATACTCAAGAAGAACAAGAAGATTGAAAACCTCTAGGAGCAACAAGCTTTAGTATTTCATAAAGTTCGTTTCACCATAAACATTGGACAGCCAAATACAAATCTGAGAAGAAAAATATGTTGAACACTTTGAAATCAGAAAGAAAAAAAGCTAGTGAAAGATAGCCATCTTGTTTTTTCAAGAATCTGTGCATGAATCACCACAAAATGTGCAGCAATCATTATGAAAAGTGTCAAAATGGACTAACAATTAATTAGCAGATAACTTTTGTCTACCTTCACACAACAATTTTAGAGGACATTTCAATATTCACTTAAACTCAAGAAGTATAATATGTTGGGAAAACATGAATTAGTGATGCTCATCCCCACCAGAACCGTGCAACAAGCGATAAACACCCGATGACACAAAGTGTCCCCATTCAGATGAGAATCACCCAGGTACAAGTCCCAGAAACCCTGTTTAACCATTCAGTTATATCAGAGCCCCTGACTACAGCCGATGTGAGACTTTAGAATTACAGATAATTGTGTCCCATATTGGGGCCAGGTTTTTTAGGGAAATATGTGCAAGTATAACCACAGGAAAATGTATTTAAAGATATTAGGTTAAGTTCAACACAAATATTCTTTTAGATCTATTAGAATGAGAAAACAAGAATATATTGTGTAAAATCTTTACAGAAAAATGAAACAAATGAGCAGTAGAAAACTAGATGTGAAAAAGCTGAGTTTAAAAACTGGCTCAGTATCATCAACATTAGAGAATCCTTTTTACTTGCATGGAGGATGATGATGATAATGTGTTTATCAGGCATAGGCCATTCCAATTGTTTGTTTGTTTAATTTTTAGGTTATGAAAACTGCATTCTGGTTGGCCATGACTGGGGAGGCCTGGTGGTTTGGGCATTTGGCAGACAGTATCCGGACATGGTCAGCAGGCTGATTGTCATGAATGTCCCACCTTCGCCAGTCTTCCAAAAACTACTTCACAAGAACAAAGAACAGTTGAAAAGATCATGGTTGGTCTTCTCAGATTATGATTCACGCAGTATTCTTTTCTTTTGAATTTATCAGTACTAATATAATTATATTAGGAATTACTTGAACACAGCTGAAAACTGCTCCAGTCCAGACAGAAATAAGTTAGGCAGATTTGTGAAGATCAATATCTCAACCTTCCTTAAACAAACAAACAAATCCATGACAGATGTCATGACAGTGGTGACAAAAAGGTTCAGTAAATGCCGTCCTTTTTTTTGCTGATGATATCAACTGTGTTCTTTAGCAGTGGGATGCATGTCTGAATGCCTAAGGTGACTCCTTTTGGCAGTCCCACATGCATTGCATGCTTTCTTCCTAAAAGTTACTTTGTGTAATTATATCACACCTGCTATTGTACATTTTATATGTTGGAATAAAGCCGTTAAGGAGGGTTTCACTTGATGATTCCTCAGAAATGTTGATAATGAATTGCACAATATGAATTTCATAATTGTCTCAAAGACGTGATTAAACCCCCAAAAATCCATGATCTGAAAACAAGAGACACTATAAAAGTAAAGTAAAGGAGCTTCTTCCACACCTTCAGATGTATTGGGCATATAGGGCTCACCTATAATTTGTAGACTAATCGGTACTCTGTGGGTGATGTGGTCAGCATCATGCTGGCCACCTTTACTTCCCAGGACTGTACTTAGTACTCATTAAAGGTTGAGTGCCAGTGTTGTTTGTAATAAGTAAGACTGTCAGCATCTAGCCACTACACCATGGTGGCCCTAAATGACTCTGTATTTCACAATCGTATGCTAAAATTATGGCATTAGAAAAAGACCTGACCAAAATCAGTCAGCATTTCATTAAAGGACAACAGATTAAATAGGTTTGCCATCTGATGAAGAATACCCTTGTACTGATGACCATAGAGTCATATAAAATGGCAAGGGGATGATTGTGCTGAAAATGGAGTCACTGCATCAAGGACAACATTAGAGAAATGAGCATCAACTTACACATTACATTAAAAAGAGTATTCAACAGATGCTCTCCCACTCCCCCCTCCCTCCGCAAAAGTACATTTCACTAAGATAACTGGAGGAAAAGAAGAAGAAGAATCATACATGCTGGTGAAATATTACACATATTATGGTTGTCTAATTCATGTTATTTTTTGCTCTTGATCGACAGTGTCTTTGTTGAATATTTCCACCAACAAAATCTTAATGTAGAACAAGAAAAAGACACAGTAAGATTCAGTTTCCTATGGACATGTTTTCCATAGTAAAATACAATTGATCGAACTGTTTTACATTGTGTTATCCACAGGTACATGTTTCTCTTCCAGCTGCCCTATTTGCCAGAGATATATTTGCGGTTTAATAACTTTGAAGCTATAGATTTCCTTTTTGCTGGATCACATAAACGGAAGCATGCTTTTTCAAATGGTATGCAAAACCCTATGTCACAAGAAGACGCTAATGCCTATAAGTACATATTCAGCCAGCCAGGTAATGCTTCCTTTATAAATATAAACTTCTGTTTGGTTGATTGATTGATTTTATTATAATATGCAGTGTTTCTTAATTCTGATATGCCAGGTTTGATTTAGCTGCTGCTGATTTGGCAGCCGACTGCCTTGGAAAAAAAAAAAAAAAAAAAAAAAAAGTGAAAAAAAAAAAAAAAAAGTAAAACAAAAAAAAAAAAACAAAGTATGTTGATTTCTACAATGGTATGCACAGCAAACCTTAAAAACTACCAAATGTAAAAAGTTGCCTAGTACAACCCAAACAGAAAACCACCTTGTGTACTGTCAGTCAGTTCTGACATAGGTGATCTTCCATGCCATGTTACACTGTCCAGCATCTTCTCTCTCCGTCTCCTTTTGCTTTTTGTCCCCTCCAGACTTTCCCAGCGTCACGATCCACTCCTGTTGTCCCCTTCTTATGGCATTACCAAAGAAAGTAGAATGTCTCCTTCTGATGTGGCAAATCAGTTCTCAGTGTGGGTTCTGGGGCCCTGTCATAGGGAAAACAAGAATAGACTCACTGCCTACCCAAGGGCATGTCGTAAGAGTTGACTAATTCGGAGCTTCCTTCGAAGTTGGAGTGCATCTGCCTGAGAGGCATGGAACCAGCAGTCTGCATAAAAATGTGTCAGATTTGTAAAACAGATGCACACACAACACTCAGGTTCTGGAACAGGACTGCAGTCCAGAAGTGGATAAACAACCAGAACTTTCTGCCAGAGTAAACAGCTATTAAATGTAAAGAAAAAAAGAATTCTGTTTCTTTCAAGATATTTTTCATAGTCCTTTTATTTGTCCATAGTTTTCTCATCAGTGGTCTATAAAACCACATCCATGCCACTTGCACATAATTTTTTTCACTAATCACTCAATTGTCTGTAAATAACTTCCGTATATTTGGACAGAATTTATATAGCTTTTGAGAATTCACATTCTCACCTCAATTGACAAAGAAAGATTGCATAAAATATTTATTTTGTGATATGCTGCCTTTGCTTGACCTATTCTTAATTTACCTTTTTGATATATCTTCCATTTGTTACTATTGTCAGGGTACCCAAGTGCTTAAGGACTATCCTGTTTAGTTTAAAGCTGCATTTCAGAGGGCCCATTTTTTTACTTCTGTTTTTCTGCTGCTTAAGCTAGGACCCTTGTTTTGACCTTCTGTTATAATAATGTAGTGCATTTCATGCGGTTATGTTTCTAAGACCCTTCCCCTCCCCCCCAATAATTTTTTAGGGGAGGGATGAGGGGGCTCAAGCTTTGTTTAACTGCAATAAAAATAATTATTATTACTATTAGTATTGCAGTTAAACCAGATTTAAGCGATCTGAGACCTCCTAAAGATTATAGGGTGAGGGGGAGGGGCCTCTTAATCATTGTTTAATTGTGCAAAAATTATAAAGAATAAAGAAAATTGCAGCCATTCCTTATCGTAGGTCTGCTGCAATCTAGCAAAGAAAAAACATATAAGAATTTTTAATTGCTGTACTGTAAAATGTTGTTTGCGGTTTCTATAGAGTTTAAATTGGGTTATAGTGTGAGTTTTTAACATCAGTCAGTTCAAATAAGGAGGATCCTATGAGAGATCCAGCAAACTGATAGGGAGTTTATTTAACTGTTATTGCTCGAGAATTATGGAGTAAATTAAAGGTAAAGCATGATTCTATCAGTGCTGAAAAGACCAGAAACACAGCGAAAGCACCAGAAAAGTGAACAACGATAGCTGCAGAAAAAATTCAGATGCTAGGTATTCGGATACTTGGAATGTTAGTGGACTGGGAAATAAATAACCAGAACTTATTCACTTCTTGAACTAGAATTCATAGTCCGCTACAAAAAGGGTTAAATTGTACTTGTCTAAAGCAAGTTAGGAAATATTTTCTCAGAGGATAGACTGGGAAATAGAAACAAGATGCCAATGATCCAGTGCACTTTTATACCAACTGATGCCATTATTAAGGCATCTAAACATAAGTATGAACTCCAAGAAACAGTTATAAACAGCATATTCATACCATCACTCTGCTACCAGTGCCAAACTCAGACATTATTAAAGGCTAACCTACATTAAATTAACACCTGGGAAATGAGACACAGGAGGAAAGCTGCCAACTTGACCATCTGAGACAAAGCTAGAAATGATACTGTCAGCCAGACTGGGAACAACATCGTGCATCAAATTCATTGAGAAATAAAATAAAAGATCAAATGGTTTAGTCATCTCATTAGTGTGTAGCTACAACAACTACCAGCACAGGTGCTACACCTGGGAGATTTGATATGAAAGCAATAGGTTGTCCTAGGAGAATTTGGATTGATAACATAAAAGATCAAGCAGTGGATCACACATTGTTCCTTCCCATGACGCTTAATGACAGAAGTGGACATTGCTGATGATGAATATGACCATATTACAGCAGTTTATCTGTTATACCCAGCCATAGTGGGGGGGAGGGGGGGAAGCAATATGAACAGTGATAAAGAAAGATCCTATACATTTGATTTTATTCAGAACTAGGGTGGGTACAGCTGTATGTTATAAATGCAGGTAGTAATGAAGCTGTCTGATATAAAAGTGTTAAAAATGCACTAGGAAAGAAATCACAGTTATAAGGGGTGTGCATACCATTAAATAGTTTTCTTGATCACTTCACTGACGTTTGTTAAAAGACAAAAACTACTGTTGGCAAGATAAAAACAAAAAAACTTGGAATTAAATTGAGTGCTGGCCTTTCTCATTGTGTGACCCACTGTAGATCAGTGGCTAGCATGTTTACTTGTCAGTCTGGAGACACAGGGTCAGATCTCAGTCAAGCAAAATTTTACAAATTGACATGGCCTTCTGTGTTGATTTAGCCTTAAACAGCTACCAAGATGTGTCCAAGATGTCCAGCGAGGTACTGACCATCTTATGGGTCAAGTGTAGATTTATCTATAAAATTGTGGGGCTAGCACCATATGCCTCAGGATATGTAATTGAGTCCTTTACTTGACTAATTTAACCTCGCTGTGGTAAAAATATCTCTGTTATTATTTCATTTTTCTAGGTGCTGTAACACCACCAATCAATTATTATCGAGCGGCACTGTCACGGCCCAATGGTAACATTGCTTATGACATGGAGTATACAATGCCTGTCCTCCTGATCTGGGGTTATCATGATATTGCTCTGACTCCAGTTATTCCTGACATGGTGGAAAAAGAAAACCCTAAAATCACAGTACGACGAATACCAGAAGCTGGTCATTTTGTCCAGATGGACACTCCTATTGTGGTTAATAAAGTGATGAGAGAATGGCTGAATGAGACAAAAACTGCCTGATTTTCAGATTCATTGCTTAAAGCTTCAAGATACTTATTTTTGAAGACTTTTATTTGATTTTTTTAAATGCAAATGATCACATAATGTCTCATCTTGTTTTAGACTGTTAACAGTACAGCTAATAGTGAGTTATATCTTGTAGATAATATGCCTCTATAGTTTTCACAACTGTACTAGTCTCCTTTCTCAAAAACTAATATTAATTATGACATACAGTATTTTTAAAATCTTTTGGTTTGCGTGTTAGTATCTCTTCCTGTCGGAAAGTATTTATTGGAGTTTCATAGTTTAACAAATTATTCTGTCCATCTTTTTTTTTTTTTACATACATCTTTATTGCCATTTATCATATTCCCAATGGCATCTTTTAAACTGTGTGCACTATTGTGATACCCTTGTTTATCAGCAGAGGACAAGATCAGACATGTTAGCCTCCTGGAGAACATTCGGGAGGGGAGAGGAATGGGTCAGAGTGCCAGTAGAACAGTCAGATTTATGTAGAGTCATAATCACATTGAGCCAGGAGTGGAGAGAGTGGCCAGAAGGTGCCACAGAGGTGGAAATTCAGCATTTTATTCAAGATAATGCTCGCTCAGGTGATGTGATTATTTATACAGATAGTTCAGTGTCATGATGCAAAAGAAGTGCTTGGGAGTTGTTATCAAAAGCTAATTAATGGTTGATGTTTGGTGCAGGAGAGCCTAGTATATGATAATACAACATCCAGCTTAAGAATGAAGATGGAAGCGGTCACCGCAGCTTTCCGTGAGAAACACTGTTTTTTGTGTGTGTGTGTAAAAAAGGAACACTGTTTTGGTGGGCCATGTGTGTGAAAAAGGAACACTGTTTTGGTGGGCCATGTGTGTAAAAAAGGAACACTGTTTTGGTGGGCCATGTGTGTAAAATGGTTGAGAAACACTAAGCTAGGTAAAAGAATAGTGAGAAAGTACCTGAAGGTTGCTGATACATGGTTTGTTTAGTGGAATATAGAGAACACACTGAGTAGATCCAGTCATAAAGATTGCCCCAAAAAATCAACTCTTGAAGAGAACCACTCTTTATATGTGTCATGAATGGAAAAGGTTGGAAGGGAAGCATGTCAGGAGAAACTATAAGCATACATACATAAATTAGGGAATAGACGTAGCATGGAAAAAACATCTGTGAAAGAAATGATTGACATTTTCCAAGTTGCAATTGTTAAGTTCCATTATGTAAAGTATGTGTATCCTTATTGTAAACACTAATAGTATTAAGTGCATACATTATGATCAGAGTTGATAGTTTCAGCAACAGCAGCATCTACAGATGTTCTGTTTTAGGTGAAACCTTTTATTATGACAGAGTTACATTAGCATTCATTAATACTGAGTGCACTTCAATAGTTTCTAGCTTGCATTTGTTTGTCTTTATATATTCAACTTTATTGAGTTCTGCTAGTCTAAAACACAATTTACCTTCTTACCATAATTTTCCCATGTTGTTTTATATACTTTATTGCTTTTCATGTGTTTATTCATTTTGCATGCTATGTAGAGCTAGTTTTAACATTTGGCTGTTAACCCTGGGAAATTAATAAACAGACAATTATTATGGAAAGTAATGGCAAGATATGGAGTAAACGAACACCTCATCGAAGAGTGCAAATGTTTATACAGGGATTGTAGAAGTGTAGTTAGAATAAATCAGGGAACATCTCATCCATTCACAGTAACATCTGGAGTAAGACAGGGGTGTGTATTATCACCACTGCTGTTTATCACCTACATCGACAGTATATGCAAGAATGCCAAGCCCATGAATGAAAATGTTAGTAACATCAACAAATTACTCTTTGCAGATGACCAGGCCTTGATAGCAGATACAGCCATGAAATTGCAACAACATCTAACATCCATGAATGAAGAATGTAAAACAAATAATATGAGAATCAACACTGAAAAGACAGAAGTAATGTCAACAGGAAAAAAGAAGACAGATCTAAACATAGCAATAGAGTGCAAAGGCATTAAACAGGCATCTGAGTTTAAATATCTGGGAACTACATTTACCGAAGTTGAGAAATTGAATAAAGAAATTAACATTAGATGCAGTAAAGCAAACCAAGTATTGGGACAGCTAGCCTCCCTCTTACAGCATAAGACAATCCCAATCAGCACAAAGAGACATCTTATTCAAAGCATATTTATTCCAACTCTGTGCTACCAGTGCCAGACATGGTCACTGACAACAAACCATAAAAGAAAATTAGTAACCATGGAAATGAGATGTCGGAGAAGGGCTGTAGGAGTGACCATAAAAGATAAGATCAGGAATAAGATCATAAGAGAAAAAGTTGGCACAGAACCAATTCTAAATTACATACAAAGACAGCAAGTGAAATGGTTTGCCCACTTGTGACACCACAACATACAAAGCATACATGGAAAGAGAAGAAGGACGTAGAGCACAAGGTAGACCAAGAACAAGATGGAAGGACAACAGAGAAACTCTACAACAGCACGTTGTGCCTATGGTAGAGGCGGCTAGAAACAAAACCTTATATCTCCCTCGACACCCACAGCGGTAAAACAGGAAGTGAAGAAGAGAAGAAGAATTAATAAACAAGCCAAAATAATGTGTCAGACTTCAGATATATAAGTTTGAAAAATAATGCTTTATATTCCCAGGCCAGCTCAAGCCAAGTCCTTCTATCCTGTTATGAATCTTTCGAATTCTTGTTTTTTTTTTAGATCGCATTGTATTTTATTTTTTTCCTTGTGGATTCCAAATGGAGGACTTTCCAGTGATACTAAAAGATTTTGTTTGTGTGTCTTCTTACTCACCACTTGCTTTACTATACAAATATTTCTCTCTACTAGCGATCCAGTCATCTATTGTAATCCTGCTATTTCTGTGACTTGCATTGTTTTTAAAATTGACATTGTTGACAACAAACAAAAAATATATTCTGTGGTAAATAAACGGAAATGAAATCTATGCAAGTCTTAATTATGTGTAGTTCTTTAATCATGTGTAGTTCTTTACTTCTTCTTTATATATATATATATATATATATATATATAGAGAGAGAGAGAGAGAAAGAGAGAAAGAGAGCAGATGTTGCCACTGGAGGTGATGAGTGTTAGGTCTTCGGGCATCTAATCTCACATGGATGCCCACTCTGGCATGATTTTTTACAGGCAGAATTATTCCTTCATTTAGAGACATAGGGTTGGGTTGTTTACAGCAGAATGATTCCTTCATTTAGAGACATAGTCTTGGGTTGTTTACAAGCAGAATCATTCCTTCATTTAGAGACATAGTGTTGGGTTGTTTACAAGCAGAATCATTCCTTCATTTAGAGACAGGGTTGTGTTGTTTATAAGCAGATTCATTCCTTCATTAAGAGACATAGTGTTGGGTTGTTTACAAGCAGAATCATTCCTTCATTTAGAGACAGGGTTGTGTTGTTTATAAGCAGATTCATTCCTTCATTAAGAGACAGGGTTGTGTTTTTTACAGGCAGAATCATTCCTTCATTTAGAGACATAGTGTTAGGTTGTTTACAGACAGAATCATTCCTTCATTTAGAGACATAGGGTTAGGTTGTTTACAGACAGAATCATTCCTTCATTTAGAGACATAGGGTTAGGTTGTTTACAGACAGAATCATTCCTTCATTTAGAGACATAGTCTTGGGTTGTTTACAAGCAGAATCATTCCTTCATTTAGAGACATAGTCTTGGGTTGTTTACAAGCAGAATCATTCCTTGATTTAGAGACATAGTCTTGGGTTGTTTACAAGCAGAATCATTCCTTCATTTAGAGACAGGGTTGTGTTGTTTACAAGCAGAATCATTCCTTCATTTAGAGACATAGTCCTGGGTTGTTTACAAGCAGAATCATTCCTTCATTTAGAGACAGGGTTGTGTTGTTTACAAGCAGAATCTTTCCTTCATTTAGAGACAGGGTTGTGCTCTTTACAAGCAGAATCATTCCTTGATTTAGAGACATAGTGTTGGGTTGTTCACAAGCAGAATCATTCCTTCATTTAGAGACAGGGTTGTGTTGTTTACAAGCAGAATCATTCCTTCATTTAGAGACAGGGTTTGGTTGTTTACAAGCAGAATCATTCCTTCATTTAGAGACAGGGTTGTGTTGTTTACAAGCAGAATCATTCCTTCATTTAGAGACAGGGTTGTGTTGTTTACAAGCAGAATCATTCCTTGATTTAGAGACAGGGTTGTGTTCTTTACAAGCAGAATCATTCCTTGATTTAGAGACACAGGGTTGTGTTGTTTACAAGCAGAATCATTCCTTGATTTAGAGACAGGGTTGTGTTGTTTACAAGCAGAATCATTCCTTGATTTAGAGACAGGGTTGTGTTGTTTACAAGCAGAATCATTCCTTGATTTAGAGACAGGGTTGTGTTGTTTACAAGCAGAATCATTCCTTGATTTAGAGACAGGGTTGTGTTGTTTACAAGCAGAATCTTTCCTTGATTTAGAGACAGGGTTGTGTTGTTTACAAGCAGAATCATTCCTTGATTTAGAGACAGGGTTGTGTTGTTTACAAGCAGAATCATTCCTTGATTTAGTGACAGGGTTGTGTTGTTTACAAGCAGAATCATTCCTTGATTTAGAGACAGGGTTGTGTTGTTTACAAGCAGAATCATTCCCTCATTTAGAGACAGTTTTGGGTTGTTTACAGGAAGAAACATTTCTTCATTTAAAGACATAGTGTTGGGTTGTTTACAAGCAGAATCATTCCCTCATTTAGAGACAGGGTTGTGTTGTTTATAAGCAGAATCATTCCTTCATTTATAGACATAGGGTTCGGCTGTTTACAGGCAGAATCATTCCCTCATTTAGAGACATTGTGTTGGGTTGTTTATAAGCAGAATCATTCCTTCATTTATAGACATAGGGTTCGGCTGTTTACAGGCAGAATCATTCCCTCATTTAGAGACATTGTGTTGGGTTGTTTATAAGCAGAATCATTCCTTCATTTATAGACATAGGGTTCGGCTGTTTACAGGCAGAATCATTCCCTCATTTAGAGACATTGTGTTGGGTTGTTTATAAGCAGAATCATTCCTTCATTTATAGACATAGGGTTCGGCTGTTTACAGGCAGAATCATTCCCTCATTTAGAGACATTGTGTTGGGTTGTTTATAAGCAGAATCATTCCTTCATTTATAGACATAGGGTTGGGTTGTTTACAGGCAGAATCATTCCCTCATTTAGAGACATTGTGTTGGGTTGTTTATAAGCAGAATCATTCCTTCATTTAGAGACAGGGTTGTGTTGTTTACAAGCAGAATCATTCCTTGATTTAGAGACAGTTTTGGGTTGTTTACAGGAAGAAACATTTCTTCATTTACAGACATAGTGTTGGGTTGTTTACAGGCAGAATCATTCCCTCATTTAGAGACATAGTGTTGGGTTGTTTATAAGCAGAATCATTCCTTCATTTAGAGACATAGTGTTGGGTTGTTTATAAGCAGAATCATTCCCTCATTTAGAGACATAGTGTTGGGTTGTTTATAAGCAGAATCATTCCTTCATTTATAGACATAGTGTTCGGCTGTTTACAGGCAGAATCATTCCCTTATTTAGAGACAGAGTTGTGTCAAGGTTTTCTCTAATGGCCTCTTTATTCTGCAGAGTAATGGGTCAGTTCCAAGCGCTGTAATTAAGGAATGGCTGTCCCCTTGCACAAAATTGTTGCCTTTCATTGAGATATGGCACCCAAACAACGTTATAGTTAATCAGTGTATCAATCATTTGATAACAATTTGTTCGGACAGTTTAGAAAATTCTTTTTAAAAATAAAACTAACTGAATAAGTGCTGGTGACTCGTCTAGAAATATTGACAAGTCATCAAGACACCAAACATCAGAGGTGACAATACCTGATGTTTTTGAAGGTGATTCCCATTCTAAACAATTGCCTTTTTTTTTTTTTTTTTGAGACAGAGAGTGTCTCATCCAAAAAGTAAATTTTATATTTTATTTATGTAGGGGTACAGTATATTTTTGTCATCAGGACGAGTGAATCTCTGACATAATGGTAAAATAATAAGTACAGGTTAATATGTAATAAAAATACATTTGCAATGATTTTCGAGATTGACTTTTTAGTGAAATCTGTGTGTTTAAAGTATAGGCAAAATTCAGGGTTGGGAACGGATTGAACCATTTTTAGTTTCATTCCTATGGGAAAATTTATTTCCTTTTTAATATTCGTCCTCCCCTCAGTAAGGGATTATTGATGAATTTTGAGTTTCTCTGCATTTGTCATTCAGCAGGATTCATACTATGGATGTTTTAACTGTATTTGTCATTCAGCAGGATTCATACTATGGATGTTTTAACTGAATTTGACAGTACCAATCAGCAATAATCACACCTGTTAAATTGGTATAACCTGTGGAGTGCTAACTGGTCGATGATAACCTCTCTATTAGGGCCTGGGAAGACCTCCACATGTGGGACTGGAAACACCTCCCCGTGTGGACCTAGGAACACCTCCCTATGTGGGTTCTGGGACTCCATTTTAAAAAATCAATAACCCACCACCCTCTTAGCATGGATGTTATAAAAGACGAATTGGCAAGCAACTAAAGGGTTTGCTGACAGTGGATGTGTTGGGCCAAAAGTCAGATATCTCAGTTTATCTGTAAACCACAATCACAATGTGCTAACCATCTAATTAATGGTGAATGCAGAATATGAATGCCTGATACACCAGTTGAATAAATTACTACTTTACTATGGACTTAAGCCGTATCTCAAATTAGTACAGCACTTTTTTGACAAGAGCTCATTTACTCCGGATCTGGTGGGCTTCCATTTAGTTGTTTCTGGCCACCGCCTTTCTACCAACTACAAGATTCCCTGCCAATTTAATTTAGATTTTTGATAGCCATTTACCTGCGAGGTAAGTCGAGCACACATGATAGAATTCTAACATGTGGTTCTGAAAAACCAGAAGCCAGCCCACTGGCAGACACACATTTTTCTGTATACATTGCACAAGGGCCTGAAAGTTCCAATATGAATATGATCTAATCATCACACTGTTAGCAGTGGTGTTTTTTTTTTTTAAAGTGCTGCTTAAACACCTTTTAAAACTTGTTAAAAGCTGGGAAGATTGGCATGATTGCTTTGGGTTTTATCTCATGTTGCTAAGTCTCTGTCCTAGAGGCAACATTCATCTATGATCTGGCAATTTTCATCGCCGCTCGATAAACAGACAAAAAACAAGCCTCCATTTTGCTGACCTAGTCAGAGGTGCATTGTTACGTAATCAACACAGAGCAAAAAGCTAACATTAAATTCTTTTTTAAACCAGGAAAAATGCCACTGAAACAGTTGAATTGATGCAACAAGATTATGGGGATAATTATTTATCTGGTGCACACATTTGTAGGTGGTATTCACGATTCAAAGTGGTGTGGAAATGATTACTAATGCACCTAGACCAGGACGCCAAATTTCTGTTCGTAATGATGAACTCATTGCAAAAGTCAGAGAATGGTTACAAGAAGATCATTGGTTTAATGTGAGGATGGTGGCAGAAGAATCTGGCGTGAATAGAGAGACCGTTCATTACATTTTAGTGCAAGATTTTGGCAAGAAAAAAGTTGCTTGCCGGTTTTATACCACATTCGTTGTCTGATGACCAAAAACATCAGCGGATTGAGTACCTAGGCAAAGTGTTCAAGCCATTTTTCTTAGGCTCTGAAGAGTGTACAAGGCCCGACAATTGAGTAATGAGACTACTTCCATAAAAATTAAAATAATCAACAGTTGAAGATATAACCTGTATTTGACTCAAAGTAAGTCTCTTATGCATTTATACAGTAAGTGGCACGATCTAACAAACACTGGAACGACTTCTGTTGTTATGGCCTTTAATGTCGATATTACGGCCCTTTGGATGTCATCAATATCATTAAAGAAGTGTCCTTTCAATCGTAACTTTAATTTTGGGAATAGAAAATAATCTGCTGGGATGCAAACACAACACAAGCCAAACTTTTCATATGTTGTTATTTTCAGTTTCTCGGATTCACAGTAAAGAAACATGGTAGTGAAATCAATGCAACAAGGATCTTATTAAGTTTATGCTCATGAAACATCTGTGAAAATGAAAACATGTTTGCAAAAGCATCATTTTATTTCACATTACTTGCAACACATGAGGAACCTACAAACGACATACAGATATATTCCAGGCACACACTAAGGTAAAAACTGAGTAGTAAATGAGTTGTCCAGTCAGTTCTTAGCTTTGGAGAACTGCTGATGTTAAGGTGGGAAAAGTTCTGTCAGAAAGAAAGAATGAAAAGTAACTGCAACACAGACATACAACAAGAAAATAAGGGGCAAACACTATGTCATCTATATTTTCCACATAATTTCATAAGTCATTTCAGTGACTTTAGTTTTTTTTTTCTGCCCTTTATCCCCCCAGTGAAGTATAGGCCCTCAGGGAACTTGGTCCTGTCCTGCGACATCATATGCAACTAAATCTATGTACTTCTATCTCTTTCACTTCATTTCCTAATTCTCTTCTCCACAGGTGCGGGTGTATGTGTGTTGGGAGGTGTTACCTTTATTCCTTTGGGATCAGTTCCAAAGAAATTTAAGTGATACCTTTACTGGATTTTCTCAATGTGTATCTCATCTAATGCCAGGCATCTTTTCCTCACCTCTTGGTTCAGATTTCAAATTTTATAGGGAAAAAATATTATGCTTGAAGATTTTGTTAATCCATCCCAGCTTTGACATGTGTTAAAATCAACTAAGTCTTGCAGTATGAAACAGAAAACTTGTATAAACTAATGTAGCATGTTCCACTTTGTTCATGGGACAGCCTGGCCAAGATGGCATCCATGGCCAGATGTATACAAGCATCTGAATACAAAGAAATTAGTCTTGATTTAGTTAGCTGCATGTCCTGCCATTTATAAAGATTTCAAGTACACCTCAGAAAGTAGCTGCATGTGACCACTCATCTCCTTACTGTGGGGAGGCAACAGCTGCAAGCCAACAAAGACAAACCAAACGACACAACTTAATCCTCCAAATGATGTGGTTCACATTCTGTGCTCACACCGCCAAAGAACATTCAGTGCAAATTCTGACATATCAGCAATCTACGCATCTCTGATCCACTCTGTATTAGCACATGAAAAGACCAGTTACCATCACTTGTGAAATTTTTTTTCAAACAGCACACACGTACAATTTATAATGGCATCAGGTACGCAGAACCAACACATTTTCAACATGAGGAACATTTTTATTATAGACAACAGATTTAGAAAGTCTTCAGTGATGCAGTTTAGAGACTAGGTAGGTAAGTTTACAATGTCATGAGAACTGACTGTATCTAAGTATCTAAGAATACCTATTCAGGTAAGAAAATACATACTGTTTCAACTTGTTTATTTGTAATCGTTTGTAACAATTCACAGGCTTTGAATTGCATTTGAGACATACAATGTTTTGCATACGCAAACACTGAAATTATTCCTATCAATACAAAAACTGTCAGCACTGAATACTTGCTCAAAGCCTTTAACACACTATTCTGCTGTTTTTACAGCATACTACGCAATCTTGCTAATGACAGCCTGATGTAAACTCTGCAGCTGTAGTGTCCACTTGTCCAGGGCATTGTATCTTGCAGTTCCTGTGGATTCTCGATCAAGTTCCAGGACCTGGTTCACCTGGTCTATCCTCCCATTCACTGTGCTGTGAAAACATTTTAGTGTTTATGAACATACCTCTGACAATGTTAGAAGAAAAAGCAGATGTGTACAATTTACTAGGCTTTAGTATTCACAAAGTGGGGGGAAAACAAAGACTAAGACTAAACAAACAAAAACAAAAATTGCAGTCACAACCAAGAAAAAAAGCATTCAGAGTGTGCACTGACAGAAAATGAGACATCACAGAAACAAGAAGACTGATTCAGTTATGTATAGTCAATGACAATACAGGTAGAATAAATCAAAGACAGCACGCTAAACAAACAGAAAAAACACAGCATTCCCAGATTAAGAATGTTCTGTCTAACATACACCTGTCTATGTACGTCAGAAAATTAGTTTAAAGATGGTTATATTGTCCACATCACTGTATGCTCATGAATAATGGATACTGAATAGAGAGAGAAGAAACAAAGCATATGTTACAGGTTAAACTGGTTAAAATGGACGCTAGGCAGCAGCACTGTTCGAAGCAGAGGCAAATTTTTTGCTTCTGCCGGACGGTGGCTGATGCATTTTTGTCTCATTTGTAGACTGGATATAGTTTCATCGCCCAGCTTCTGAGTTGAATGCATGGCGTGACACTGTGAGCTGTGGATTGCATTTGGAATGTTTTTTTGACTGTGACCAACGTGGTGGTATGAATTGTAAATTCAGAAAATGGCGCGATGCCTGTCGAGCAATGCTGGCGGTGCCCATATGTGAATAAAATTGATCGCGTGGGCAACTGCTGATCTGCTGGCGACAAGTTCTGCTATCATCAATGATGAACTGCATTTCTAATGTTGGACTGTTTGTGTTAGCACTTCGGATGGCTACCTTTTGCTATAATGCGAGTGTATGCTAGATATGCTGAGACAGCAGTCTGTCAATCTTTCCACAAGGGACTGTGATAAACATTCTGTGTGTTTTCCGTTGGCACAGGAGCGGAGCAAAGATGGGGTGACCCGTTTGCTATGAAGCTGAAACTAAGACTACCAGACTACCAGATATGTTACAGAGACACGGTTTCAGTAGAATGATAAGAATATTGGACAACTAGCAAGTCCAGTATCCAAGCCAAAATGATTGAGAGATAAACGATTTATAAAGGCATTTTGGCCATGTTATTGTCATGATATAATGTGAATGTGATCTATTTCTTAAGTGCTTCCTGAAATGGCTAAATGTTCAGTTGGAAAAGAGTGAATGAGCTTGAATAACACCGTCTTTTAATGCTGGCTTATTGGAAATGACACTGTAATTGAGTACTAATTTAAAGGAAATAGTACTGACTTCTATTACTGGGATACTAGAAATAATCTTCTTCTTGTGCTTCTGCACTCTCCCATTAAGAAGGGTGTTGGCACACTGTGCTGTGGTTTACAGTCAGTACTGTGCTGTGGTTTACAGTCAGTACTGTGCTGTGGTTTATAGTCAGTACTGTGCTGTGGTTTACAGTCAGTACTGTGCTGTGGTTTACGGTCAGTACTGTGCTGTGGTTTACAGTCAGTACTGTGCTGTGGTTTACAGTCAGTACTGTGCTGTGGTTTACAGTCAGTACTATGCTGTGGTTTACAGTCAGAACTGTGCTGTGGTTTACAGTCAGTACTGTGCTGTGGTTTACAGTCAGGTATCGGAATCCAAATGGGCAACTTACAAGAAATAATACTGCATAATTCTCTCTGACATGAGTTAACTGTGTCTTCCAATTCTGACCAATGGAAAATAATACTGAAATTGAGGTAAAAGAAAGGAAATAATTGTGAAATCTGACAGCTTTCCAATTTCATCATACAATCACGAATAGCCATGCTGAAAAATATACTCAAGTAATATGCAATGCCTGTTGCTTTCTGATATTTCCAAAATGGTTGTTATAAGAAGCTAACATAATACATACATTATAATTTGAACAAGGATTACAGGCGAGACACCCTACCCATGCACTCACACATACATGTATGAATGCTCACACACAAACTTCACAGATATTATCAAGAATTAGCTTTATTTATGGTGTGTTTTTTCAACGTGTTAGTAAATATAAAGATGGAACATTGTATGAAAGAATGATTTTTAAAAATGTGTTTTAACTCACTTGTCCAAAATACAAGACACAAGCAGGTTTTCCACCTCAACAGCATCGATGTTCAGTTCCTAGGAATATAGAGACAGACAACATTGTCATTCCCAGATATATATTCTAGTTAAGTTTCACTTGGGATAACCAACTTTTTTTTTTCCTGATTGGAATGCTCCACATTTATTTTTATTTTTTAAAATTTAAAGCAGAAGTAACTGCTTGATTTCAATGCACATTTTGTATAAGTTACATTCCCACAAGACAGATTCTATTCAAGGTAGCAGACCATAAAACCACATGAAAGGCTTTTTTCATAACCATTGTGTCAGAATAATGACACTATGGCTTCTCATAGCAATTTTAATCATTTTCTCATGCTTTTTTTTTTAAGGGATACATTTTCTTATCAAAATTACTTGACAATTTACCAAACTTATCTGCCTCATAAAGGTATGTGATCATTTCCATTTTGCAGTTGTTAAGCATCTAGTGATATACAAACAATAATAATGGCACCCTGATTTTTTAAAAAAAATGTTTAAATCAATCCCCACAACAAGATAACTCTAGCTTTCTGATAGAGTGGCAATTCTATGCATCGAAAAATTACTAAAGGGTAGTGATGATGATGGCAGTTATGTCAGAACAATAACAATGTTACAACAAGTAACACCTCAACAATCAGATCTCTGATTTATTGAAAGTTACCTTGGAAATAAAAAAGAATGTGGATGACCCTAAAAATAACTAAAGGATGATAATGATGGATAAAAGTTGTTACACTAAGATCTGAGCTTTAATGAAAGATTACCTTTGAAATGAAAGGAATGTGTATCCGTGTGTATGGCTTGATGAGCTTGATAAGAACTTGTGTGCGGATGTTTCGTAACAGATCTGTTGACAAAAATGTTTTAATATGTTGAGTATTGATTATCACTATGATCATCAATGTTATAATAACTCAAGATACTTGAACATTTTCAATGCATGAATACTAAAAAATGTGTCTTAATACCAGTGTGAACTTCTGAAGAAAAACCCTTTCAGAATTATTTTTAACTATTTACTTAGGTAACTAATAAATTCAACATCAGTAAATGTATATGGTTAAGCACCAGCGAGGCATGCATCTTCCCTGTAACAACATATGGATAAGATTCAAGGGAGAAAATAGACAATTGACATTTTGTTGAGAGATTCTCAGAATACCATGGGCAAAGAAGAACAGAAATACTGATATTCTAAAAGAGGTGAACATTGAGGAAGATTGGCTAACAAACAACATCTTGGCTATTCCAGAGAAATTTGACCAAAAAGCTCAACAAAATGGGAAAGCAGAAAAACGGGCACAAAACAACACAACGTTAGCTTGACTGCAGTCACCCCCATATTTTCAACATCTTGGCTAACAAATAGCATCTTGTCTCGAAAGCTGAAATATTCTGGCCATATCAAGCGCCATGGTGGACTGGAAGAAAAAAAATAGCAGCAGAATGCATGGAGCCAGGAAGGAGAGGCATGGATGTCAACCAACAAGACGACGAGCACAGGATATAACTGACTCTTTGGATATGAAAGTGCACTTGGCGGGAGAGCTGGTGTTTCTTTCAGGCAGAACGTGATAAGAGTAGTGTTCTGCAATGAATCTGCTTCATGATGATAATGATAAATTATTTTAAAACTCATTTCTCTAAATTTTTTTTATTTTGCCTCAAAATATACAAAGCTATATAAAATGCTTAACACATCCTGGATAGCCAAAAAGAGCAACCAAGAGGTTTTGAAAGAGGCGGGAGCCCGAAGACAACTTATTGCAGACATCAGAAGGAGACAGTCAAAATTTATCGGCCATGTTATTAGAAGAGGGAAAATAGAACATGTTGTGACCACTGGAAAGATCTGTGGAAGGGGGATAGAGGAAGACAACGAGAGAAGATTCTTGACATGTTGCATGGCATGGAGGTGTGTCAGCACACGAACTGATACATGCTGCAGGAGATCGCAGATTGTGGAGAGGCATGATCACCCACGCCAGTTGGCAAAGTGCCTGATAATGATACTGATGATGATTTAAAAGAAGTAATTAATAAACTAGAACAAAGTGAAGCATTAAATGAAAGGCATTCGCCAGGGCCAAAAAAAAAAATATGTATCAGGTGACACATGCTGACTGTGACCCCGTGACCTCTATTACTAAGGCTTACAGAAAAGCTTGAAGTCAACTTTGCTTTATAAAACTATTTGGCTAACAGGATGCTGTATTTAGTTAATATATTCACATCCAGGCCTCCTACACACTACACAGATGTATACAAAACAAATGGTATTTCACTACGCTTTTCAAGAAAAGATCACAGCAGAAATGGCGATATGTAGGCATTTAAGGGATTGTGTTACAATCAGAAGTAACTATATTTATTGGCCATCTCAGAACAATAGGGTTAAACCATTTTATGAAATAGGAAATTACAGAAACAGTCTTGTAGGTAAAGAGAACATAAAGCAGACAAGTGAGACCTCACTGTGCCTTCTGTAGGACTCAGTAATCCAACTTCCTTCTTGCTGATGATTCTATCCCCTTTATAGGATTTTGAGGTTCTCACCACTCAGGGAAGGTTCAATGCCTTGTTAGTGGCTCGTGATTATATGGCTAAAGTAAGTGTGTGAGATAGAGAAAATAGGGGGGGGGGCATAATAATTATACAAAAATCACTATTTCCATCTTAACATTTAATTATTTTAAAATGGTTACCTCGTGCTGTAACTAATAAAAGCATACTATAACCTTCATATTGTGCTTTCCAATGACAAAGGTAATCTCAACTGAATGTTTAACAATACATACCTTCAATATGCTCCCTGATAAAAGGATCTTCCATGATGTTCTGTCTGTTGGTTTTGAGTATTTTCTCAAAGTCACTGATGTCATTGTTCTGATAAGCACTTTAAAAAAAGTTAACAATGAACATTTTTATTATAACAAACATTACAATAAAGCACAGTTCCTAATAATACTTCACACTAGCAGCAACACAGATAACAGCTCAAATAAACTGTACAACACCCACAAACACAGACAACTGTACTGTCTTTTTTACTTATGTGATATTAGCCAGTTGCAGTGCACAGGTGCTGTACCAGGATCAGGGCTTATGCATGTCAAAATTTACCTAAATCTATCTGCGGTCATCTAAGAAAACCTATGCGTGGGTTCCGGGAAAAACAAGAATAGACCCACTGCCTCCTGAACAAGTGTGTCATAAGAGTTAACTAACTGGGTGCATCCTTTTGAAGTCAAAGTGCATCTGCATGAGAGGCGAGGAACCAACAGTCTGCATACAAATAAGCCTGATCTCTAAAACTGATGTGCATGCAACACTCAGGTTCTGGAACAAGACTGAAGTCCAGAGGTGGATGAACAACTAGAACTGTCCACCAGAGTTTACAGCCAGTGAAATGAAGAAGATCCTAGAAAAGACTCCTAACCAGGGTACCCAAAGTAGGTAGGATCAACATATTCTTCAAAGTCAGAGTGCATCTGTCTGAAGGGTGTGAAACCAACCGTCAATAAAGTGTGGTCCAATGGTAATTTATCGCTGTGACAGCAATTTAACAGACCTGCTTGTCCAGCCACCTATGGTTGTCTAAGTTTTGAGCACAGTGTGTGGGACAATACACAAAATGTGTACACACGTTTCCAATAATTTCAATTCCTCTTCTCATAAAGGGACAATGATATGTGTAGCACTACAATGAAACAATGTTATTTGAACAGTTCTAGCAGAGTGATGAGAATGGACAGTAAATAAATTACCACCATGGAGTATGTTCACTGAGCAGAAATCAACACAGTTCTGGATATCACAGGTGACTTGTTGATCTTGTTTCCTGCCACCCTCTTTATCTTGTTGCACTGTCTTGGCGAAAGTGCCTGTCAGTAATTAGCTCTTATTTTTCATTCCTCCCATTTTGGAAAGGGGGGGGGGGGGAGGCGGTGGGGGGGGGGGGTGCAACTCTTGTCTTTGTTCAGAATTGGGATATTTGTGCCTTTTGTCCAACACATTAGTCCTCTTTTTATTTTTAGGCCGGGTTCACTTTCCCTGTGTGTTATATAAAAGTTCATGGCTTCTGAGTGGGGACATCATCTTCACTCTTCCATTTAAATGTGGTCTCTCCCCCCACCCCACAGGCTTGTACACAACAGTGACAAGTTTGCCAGGTAGCACTCAAAGAAAGAAAAAATCAGGACCAAAATATTACCCATAATCTATGGAGGTTTCCATAAGTGCAGAGCTGACACATGTTAGACAAACTTCAGAAAATCTGTGGTTTAAAATATTAGTAATGCATCTTGAAGAAGAGATCAATTGCAATCTTCTGAATCTTCAGTCAGCAATAGCCACTAAATGCAAACCCTTTCCTTACCTGACTAAGTTTGTCATAGCCAAAATTTCTGGGTCCATCTTGTATGGTTTAGTCTCTTGTGAATCAAACGGATTGATCCCAGACTTCATAAGCATATTTGCCAAAACAAGATACTTGAGACATGTTGTTCGTCTAAGAGTTTTAAAAGAAAAGGCAATTTTATAATAAACACCTTAAAACACTTAAAATTCATTTAACGAGTTAATGCAACACAATTTGTTTTGCTCCATTTCTTACCATACATTTCCTAGTGTCTATTTTTGGCTCAGCAGACAAGTTTTTCACTTCAGTAGCCTTTACTTCCCAGGATATTTAATAGTGTCTATTTTTGGTTTAAGACACATTTGTTCACCCCCAGTAGCCTTTACATCCCAACTTGTGTCTATTTCTGGCTTAATGGACAAGTAGTTTCACTTCAGTAGCTTTTATTCTCCACTACATTTACTAGTGTCTATTTCTGGCTTCATAGACAAGTAGTTTCACTTCAGTAGCTTTTATTCTCCACTACATTTACTAATGTCTATTTCTGGCTTCATAGACAAGTAGTTTCACTTCAGTAGCTTTTATTCTCCACTACATTTACTAGTGTCTATTTCTGGCTTCATAGACAAGTAGTTTCACTTCAGTAGCTTTTATTCTCCACTACATTTACTAATTTCTATTTCTGGCTTCATAGACAAGTAGTTTCACTTCAGTAGCTTTTATTCTTTTATAGTCTCCATAGACAAATAGTTTTCACTTCAGTTTTTATTCTCCACTACATTTACTAGTGTCTATTTCTGGCTAGACAAGTAGTTTCACTTCAGTAGCTTTTACAACATTTACTAGTGTCTATTTCTGGTTCACAAGTTCAGTAGCTTTTATTCTCCACTACATTTACTATTGCTTTCTGGCTTCATAGACAAAGTGTCACTTGAGTAGCTTTTTAGCTCACATTTACTAATGTCTATTTCTGGCTTCATAGACAAGTAGTTTCACTTCAGTAGCTTTTATTCTCCACTACATTTACTAGTGTCTATTTTTAGCTCAGCAGACAAAGTTGTTTCACTTCTTCTTCTTATGTCAATATTTGCTTATGCCGCTAGGCGTTTCAGTTTATTAGACGATCGGCAGCGGAGCCAGGGCACGATTGATGGCTTGATATACCATGATGTTATGCAGTCTCAAGATGTCAGTGGCTCCTTCAGTACATCTTCTTCTGCTTAGATTGTGTTTAGATTTTAAGGTTGTACGCTCTTGCTGCTGGTATTGTTAGTTTCATTCTCATTAGAAGGCCAAACCATTTTATTCGTTCTTTCTCAATAAATCAAATGATGGGTGTTGTGCCAACAGTTCTTGTGATCACGTTGTTTTTCACTTGATCTCTTCTGGTTTTATTCACAGCCATTCTCAAACATCTCATCTCACAGGTGGGTAGTTTTCTCTTGTTCTCTTGTGTCAATGTTCAGTCTAACACTGGTAACCTAAAGTCGGTATAAATGTATTTATAATATGTCTTTTTGTCTCTGTTGGGATAGCATTGCATTTTAAATCGGAGCAAGTTGGTATGTGACACTGTTGGCTTGTTGGATTCTCGTTTCTATCCCTCTGTCAATTTTACCAGTGTGTGTAAAGATGCTTCCCAAGTATTTAAATTCTTGCTCTGGATTTAGAATTTGATCCTTGATCTTTATGTCAATGATCTGTTGTTCTTTTATTCTCAAGACTTCTGGGTTTTTTTTTTTTTTCAATACTGATCTTCATGTGATGTTTAAGGCAACTGTCGTGTAGTTGGTTTATGTGGTCCTGCAGCTGTTTACTTTCACTGTGGAATATGCACTGATCATCGGCAAAGAGCAGCTCATTAAAGTCCTCCTGTTTATCGACATCTAGTGATGTTATGCCTATTTTTTTAATATTGTCCATGAATATTATAAAAAATAAAGGTGAAAGAACACAGCCTTGCCGTACTCTTGATGTTACTGGGAACTAGTCTGTGAGGCAAGCTCTTGTTCTGATGGCACTTTCATAGTCTCTATAAAAAGCTCTTACAGTCTACCCAGGACCAGCTCCTGGTGTCAGCTGGAGCCGTTTGTGGTCTAGCATTGTTCCATTTATACCAAGTCTTCAAAGACATCCCAGAGTAAATCTCTGTTCACTATGTCAAAGGCCTTTTCTTAATCTATAAAAGTGATGTTCATTTGGTGTGTATGTTCTATTGTCTTTTCATTAATTTGCCTTAGGACGGAAATAGCGTCACTTCACTAGCCTTTATTTCCCAGTACATTTACTAGTGTCTATTTTAGCTCAACAGACATGTTGTTTCACCCCAGTAGCCTCTATTTCCCAGTGCATTTCCTAGCACTCATTTAAGGCTGGGTAGATCTAAGAGTCCTGGTCCATTAACCCAAGTATGATTTAAACACATAACCACTAGGTCACCAGATAAGTGTGCTAGTCATTGTTTTAGTAGGCCGCATTTATTTTCATATGTCCCTTTTCATCCCTGTACATGACTAGCCAAGCTGGACTGATACGAGAACTTATCTAACACAAAGGAAACAACTGTGCTTTACTTTCACACCACTGTTATATGCAATGCAACCTTCAGGTTTTTACATAATGTTTCATACATAAGACAATGTTTCAACATATTACTAATGAAGTAAACACTAACTGTGGGACATTATTTATTTTATCCTACACTTACAAATAAAGTTTTCAATTCTACTATGAAGTTCAATGCCCAATCTTCTATCTGAAAGGTATTACTACACATAAAACACTACTTTCAACAGACTATATATATATATATATATATATATATATATATATATATATATATATATATATATATACATACACACATACAGAGAGAGAGAGACAGAGAGAGAGAGAGACAGAGAGCTATTTAGCTATTTTTAAATATATTTTTTAAAAATAATTTTAATTTTTACTGTCAAATTAATAATATAATATGCTTCAATATTTACTGATCTTTTACAGTGTGTTCTAGTATAAGATATAATCAGTATATATATTTGAATGAAGCAGGTAACACTTACCTTGGACTACCAGATTCATCATAGTTTTTGAAGGCCTCAAAGAAATCTGTGTGTGCTCGTTCATATTCACCTTCTCGTAGATGCATTTTCCCTCCACATTCTTAGATTGATTTGAGAAAGTAGACAATGTTTGTCATATTTATAATGATTACATTTATAACTAACAATCTCTTCTAACTGCACAATAATCCAGGTAACAAAATCTCTATAAAATTCAACATTGGAATGCAACCCCTTCAGATACAGCACCATGTTAACACAGATGACGGCGGTGCTAAAAACTGCAAAATCACTGTGCTAGCTTCTTCTGCATTTGCCCTTGAAAGTGCACTTGTCATATTGTTGTGTAGTTATCGGCTAGGCTCTGATATCGGCATATTTGTCCAAGACATCTGATTTCAGTAAAACCTTAATTAATCATGTTTTACAAAATGCTTGTTCGAGTGCATCTATTCTCTTTTCCTCTCCTTATTAGGGGGTTCTAGAACCCATATGGGAAGCAATGCTAGCAAATGAATGTGCTACCAAATATTCTAAAAAATATTTGTTTATTTCAAACTTCCCATAGTTAATCAAATTTCTTTCTTACATTTCTGCAACCTGAGTAATGAAACCTTTGTTAGAAGTCTCATCTTTTCAGGTCAACTCTGTGAGTTGTGATTTGTTGTCTATATACTTTAAAACCCTGGAAGCAAGCATCTAACAACAGTAAGATCTCACCTACCTCTGATAACACCCATGATGAGAGGATGTGGGATAGCAGACTTGATGTGAAGAGACTGCTCATACAATGCCTGGTGGGAAAATGCAGATAATCAAACAAATGACACTCAAATGACACAGGTCAGTGGAATAAATAAAGATCATGCTGAATTCTTTTTTCTTTCAAGTACAGCCTATACAGACCTTGGTACTATGCCTTCCATTTTGCTGCAGTGTACTACTACTACTACTTCATGTTAACTGGCAGCAAACTCCTACGCAAAGTTCTGGATGTTTGTCCGCCTCCTGGATTCTGGCCTCTCAGGCAGATGTACTCTGACTTCGAAAGATGCCCCCAATTAGTAGACACTATGACATGCTTGTTGGGGAGGCAGTGGGTCTATTCTTGTTTCGCCTACAATTTTGTCCCGGAATCCACAAAGGGAGCTGCTGTACACAAGTTGTACGAAAAAAGATTGTGTAAAAATTATTGACATTAGCGGACACTGGCATGGGCGATAATGCTTCTTCAGAATCTGCAAACTGCAACTGCATGTATCAGTTTGTGTATTGACATCCTTCCATGCCATAACAAAATAATGTCAAGAATCATCTCACGCTGTCTTCCTGTCTCTCTTTTCCCAAATACTCTCCAGTGATCACATGTTCCATTTTCACTCTTCTCATAACTTAACTAAAAAATTAGACTGTCTCTTTCTGATGTTTGTGATAAGTTGTCTTCGAGCACTCAACTCATTCAAAACATCTATCTGGGAATTCTAAAAATTTTTCTGTAAAACCACATCTCTGAGGCCTTAAGATATTGTTTGACTTGTTTATTAACTGTCCAGGATTCATAGGCATATGTTGAAACTAGCTCTAAACAGAATGCGAGAGTTATTTGCGTTCATCGGATGTAAACCCCGGGGGAAAGATCTGGTTGTCTGGACTTTAGCTTTGTTCCAGGACCTGAGCTTTGCATGTGCAACTGCTTTACAGATCTTGCTTATTTGTAGGCAGGCTGTTGTTCCTCGACTCTCAGACAGATGTACTCAGACTGAAGGAAATTAGTAGACTCTTGCTTGTTGGGGAGGCAGTGGGTCTTTTCTTGTTTTTCCCACAATGGGGCCCTGGAACCCACATGGGGAAATGCGAGAAAATTTTTTTTCTAACCTCCAATGACCTGGATTTATTGCACAAAATAAAAGGCAGTTTGGGGCTGTCCTTTTCTGTTCTTTATTTCTGTGATTCATCTTCCATCAGATGTTATCAATATGCCTAGATACTCACATTTCTGTACTTGTCCTAGTAAAAACGCCACTGACTTTTATGATACATTTAGGCACTATTCTTTTTTTGTTGTTGAAAATCGTCATTACTTCTGTCTTCCCATTATTCAAACTGAAGCCCATTTTATCACTTTCTACCACCACCGTATTTATGAAATCATTATTTTTAACGGGACAATACAACCTCATCCACCACACAGCTACAAGGAAACCAAAATAGCGCTAAAGCAGTCTTTCAAGAGAAGTGGAGAAGGTAGAATGGAGATTACAGACCAGAGAGTGACAGCATAAACAAACTCAACAGGAAAGAACAAACATCAATTTTTAGACTTAGGACTGGACACTGTGGTCTTCGAGCACACCTGTACAGGATAGGCATAAAAGAATCTGCTGCCTGTGATTGAGGAGCAGAAAGACAGACCCCTGAGCACATACTGCAGTACTGCCCTTACCTCTCCCAGCAAAGACTGTGGATCTGGCCCAGGGGATCCACATTGCGAGAGAAGCTATGGGGGACCGGTGGCGACCTTAAATGCACAATCCTATTTTTTACCCAGACGGGACTCAATGTTTAGCATGGCTTATGTCGAACGCAGAAGAAGAAGAACAGACAATGCCCCTTTTTAAATACATTGAGAAACAAAGACGGAATTGGTTAAGCCACATAAGGAAAATTAACTCAACATCGCAGGCACTGTGGGGTGCATAATATGAAAATTGAAAAACCAAGATGTAGAGGGAGACCTAGAATAACATGGATTGAAGGAGTCACAAACTCACATTACAATATACCAAGCAACCAAATACACCCTAGCTCGACTGTCGATCAGTTAAACAGTTATGCTTAAAGGCATAAAAAAGGATACCTAATGGCATAAATCAGATACTTACACATAGAAAAAAAAAGAATAAAATCCATACTTGTGCAGATTAACTCTGACACTACAGTGTTGCTTGTGATCCACAGTCTTTGCTGGGAGAGGTAAGGGCAGTACTACAATATCCTAATATTATTTACTATACTTTTAAAGAAAAGGCTGTATATGGATAAAGACAAATACAATCATCAGCCAACCTTTAACTTTTTGTTGTTTTTCTGAGCTGTGTACATCTGAATTTCCAGGGCGTAAATCTCCAACAACTGGGTCCCCTTTTTCAAGTCATCAGTGCCATCATCAGTCTGTCGGAGAAACAAAAGCATTTAGCAAGACACACATCTTGACTAATCAGAAGACCATTATCTAATTGTATTTTATATTATCCTATGAAATTTAGAAAAAAAAGAGTACAAACAGCAGAGAAAACAGGCCAGAAATTATGAGACAGTGAAAGAGAATGGAAAGAGACAATTTAAGAAAGAAACATTCTTATTTTGTAAAGATCAAAGATATTTAACTATAATGGGAAATGGCCATTACACAAAAACGCTGTGTACATAAACTATTTGGTGCAGAATACACATAAGAAAACAAAGAAATGCAAGATTTTCCTTGATATATAAACTCCAGACATTGTCGTTTTTAAATTTAATTTTCTTTATTTAAAAAAAAAAAACAGCACACATTACAAAACAATGGATTACCTGGCAAGACTGGTGTAACTGTTTGAGAATGCGCTGCAGCCTGGTGTAGTCTTCTCTGTCATAGTATAACTTGCCCAGTTTGGTGTTTGTCTTAAACCACAGGCGTTCATTTTTGGCCTCCTTCAGAGCATCAAGAGTTGTCTCATAGAAGTCCTGTAACAACTCCATCTGATGAGGTAGCAATAACAGCACTATCAGCTGCTGTCTACACTGATGTGTTACACACCATGAGATAGTAGCACACAACATTATCTTCAAACCTGTCGCCCCTAAGAGCAGCAAAACCGACACTTCCAGTTAGGTCTAGTTCCCCATAAATGTCATTAACTAAGTTTTCTAGAGTCATTGTTGTATTACTCCTTTATATATTTTTAAAAAGAAGTATTTAAATTTGTTACAAATTTATTAGTGAACCTGTGTAAAATTGTTATTTTTTTTAAGGATGTTTTTCAGGAATTCCCAAGGGCTTGTGGCCCAGTTGCTGGAGTGACAGGGTTAAATGCAGATATACAATTTCTCTGCTCTTAATTTACTGCTTTCTACATGCTTAATAAATTAATAAAATGTTGAAGGCATGATATTTCTGTTTTTAGACACAATATTTCTATGTTTCAGACATGATATTTCTGACATATAAATATGAGATATTTGCTCAAAGTGAATTCTATATTTCATCCCATGAAAGCATTCAAAATTTGTATGACAAAACTAATCTGAAACAAGATATCTTTGTCTCAGGTACATTGTGGCTATGGCACAGTGTTATTAGATTAACTAACAATGTACCTGCTTGGATGTTGAGATGTAATCCAAAATCGAGTTGATGGATTTTTCTGAATAGTTCCTTGTTACTGCAGATTTGATATATGTCAGTAGAAGCTTATACCTTACCATCATCTCATCATAATTGCCCTATGGAAGATAATAACACCTTTAAACAGTGATAACAAATGAACGGACCAACATAAATATATAATGCACATGTAACTGAAATGATATGAAAGTATGTTAAAAAATAACCTTACCAAATGTAAAATATTAAAAGGCTACAAAAACTGTATCAGGCACTGATGAATGTAAAATTAATTAAGTACAGAGGTATATAACCCACATCACAGTGAATAAAACACTGAACGAATCAATTGGATTATCAGTTTAAAAAAATAGTTTTACCCTTGTTCTGGGGGAAAATTTGTTATTTAACAAGAATCACAATTTTAAAATGCTTTGTTTAGATCAAACCTTCATGAGCACATATATAAATCAAACAAATCCACACGAATACACACAAATAGACAACAGAGCACAGTACAGACAGACAAGTACGATTGGCACAAACCGATAGTCAAACAGATAAATTAATACGATGCCCATCAGAGAGTTTGAAAAAAGATATGGATAGGTAAGGTTATACCATACAATGTAATAGAAAACAAGTTCCAAGCCATCCAATCATGGGTGACTCTTTCCAATGAACCAAAAACCATTGTGTAATGCACTCTCGTACTGTTAAAATTTAGTAAAGAACATTTATTTTTAAAAAATTCATTAGCCTAGACTTTCAATGTGTATACAGCCATCTTGAAATGTGTGCATTCATGATTGTAGGGGTCTCTTCCTCCTCTTGACTACATGCTACACATTTCTGGGACTAAACACTGAACTACTAAAATGCTGTATGTGTACGCATGTATGTGTAAAGGCAGCCAGCGTGATGCCGACCATCCCATTGTATGCCAACTGGCCTATAAAAATACTGGTCAAGCACTATTTGTCCAATGCAGCAAAGGTGTGAACAGGGCTTTAAATTTTTTTTTTTTAACTTGTATACACATGTTTTATTGACATCACAGCATTTAGGGCATTCCCATATGCGCTCCGTTCCCATCCTCAGCAGCCAGCGCAGAGTTCCAATACTAATGGTGCCGGTCGTAGTCTGGTTGTAGGTCAGTCTTGCCGTTCCTCTGAGCGTAGTGTGCCAGCCAAACCTTCTGGTCACACCCAGATGCATCATTCAGCCAATCTGTCAGCCTGTTCATTCCCCACCACGCCGGCAAGGCCCGGAGAAAAGATCCTAAGTATGTTTACTACCGTGACCTTGCAAGTGAAGCTTGCCACTCTGCTCGAAAGCAATCCTGTCTTCATCTTTTTTCAGCATGCTTTCAGAGTCCGTTACAATTACGACACGTGTATGTATCTTGTTCTTTAGCCACCGGCAAGCTGTAGTGACCACCTCCACTCTCATGTTAGATGTTGTGGTATCATATGTCAGGTTGTCATACACTGAAGATTTTCCATTGGCTTTCGCTACGAAATCCCAGGCCCTTCTCTTCCCTCTCTATTCAGAACCATCTGTGTAGATAATCAGAAACTGTCGTGAATCAACTGTTTGACCTCCACACCAGTAGCCTCCGCTGGTCACTCTCTGCACTCCTGGCCTAATGTGATCAGTGACCCTACATAGGTCAGACTTTTCCTCTGGTACTCTGAGCCACTCCTCTTCTCATCCAATGTTCTTCAGCATGCATACTTGTCTTATTGTGTCTTCTGCTTGAGCTATCCAAGATTTTCCCCTTTTCAGCCTCTGATGCTTAACTGCACCCAAAGCTTCATACAAAGGGTGCTTTTCATCAGCAGCTACTCTGAGGTATGATTTAGCCTGCAGCACCTTTAGCCTATCTACAATAGTCGGTAATGCAAGGATGTATCGCATGCACACAATTAGGGTGTCTCATGTACATCAGAGATCACCCGCATAGCTTCAATCTGTATGCGCTCTAGTAGTTTTACTATCTGACTCTTCGAGACAGTGAGCAAACCCAGTCCATAAGTTTCAATATATAACATTTAAAATATTATTCATGAAATATAACGCACCAATCTAAAATTAATCTTGATCATCTGCTTCAAGGCTTTGAAACCCCATTCTCCTTTCTCCTTGCCTTCAAGTTCCAGGACCTTCACAGAGAAAGACAATAAAGCACATTAATCAAGAATATCTCCTGCTTTAAGCCTAACAATTCACATATAACAACAATAACAGCGTTTTTAATACTAGGCATATTTTCTTCCTCTTTTTATTCATCTAAATAATGTAACTGTGTTGTGCCTGTTTACAGCAAACTGCGATATTGCACCTTTCAGCCGACATATCCGACTTCATTAAGCGTTTGTTGACTGGGTACACTTCCTGGATAGTTTTGTGGGACATTTCACAGCCTTATTTGCATTGTGTTTTCTGTGTACCATTATTTACAAGTGTTGCCTCTGGAGAACCTGTCCAGGATAACAATGTGTAGACTGGTCGGCACTCAAGGGAAGGCACGGGCAGATCATGGGCATACCCCACCATCTAAGGAGGCTTCCAAAAATCAGAGCCACCACATTATTCTCTGATCCTAGGCTCACCTAAGGAATCGTTATGATCTACACATGGCTGCTTAACATCACATTCGCATGCTAAGCTTCCTATTCGTCAGAGATCAGAAGGGAGTACGTCTGAGATTTTGATGACCTCCCAGATAGGTTCACTCTTCTTCAGCAGGTTAAGCACCTGCAAAGTTGTTTCATATGGACACCTAGCATGGCAGTATGGAAACGCTTGCATGATGCCGGGTTTCCCCTATTTGGTTCTGACCCATACTAGGCAGATAATATATGAGGATTACAGTGTTAGCCATAAATGTGTGGCTGATAGTCATAAACTCAACCAGTTATATTGACATATTTAGTTTCACAAATTACACTTTTTGTATTTTTATGCCTAGTGCATCTCCAATATCTTGTTTCCATCTTTTTGTTAGTCTAACCCTGCCTTTTCTTCCAGCAACCATTCCTTCTATTATTGTTCTGGCAGTAGGCTACAGTATTTCAGTTTCCAAAATATGATGCTAATTTTCCTCAGTGTTCAGACCCTGTATAATGCCAAGTGTTTTTTCTCCTACCTGCTCCCCAGAATTTTAAGAAATTTAATCTAGTGATTTTGAAATGGTCCTGGACTCACTGTTGAACACTGCCAAAAGCCAATTATTGTACATCTCACTGCTGAACACTGTCAAAGGCCAATTATTGTACATCTCACTGTTGAACACTGTCAAAGGCCAATTATTGTACATCTCACTGCTGAACACTGTCAAAGGCCAATTATTGAACATCTCACTGTTGAACACTGTCTAAGGCCAATTATTGTACATCTCACTGCTGAACACTGTCAAAGGCCAATTATTGAACATCTCACTGTTGAACACTGTCTAAGGCCAATTATTGTACATCTCACTGTTGAACACTGCCAAAAGCCAAGTATTGTACATCTCACTGTTGAACACTGCCAAAAGCCAATTATTGTACATCTCACTGTTGAACACTGTCAAAGGCCAATTATTGTACATAAAACAAGTAGATCTACATTGTATTCTTCCTCATTTGTATTTCAACAAACAACAGCCTACTGCAAACAATTCTAATGACAAAAACAGAACTGAAAATTATATGTATCATGAGAAATGGGCTTCGAGCAGTTTTAAAAGCTTGCGACAATTCTATTTCACTCTCCAGCAAAAACGAAACTATGCACTAAATTTAAAGCGTGCATCTAAACTAAATATACCTTTTGGAAACTTTCGAGGGCTGCCTTAGGATCATCTTCTTTCAAAGACTTAGAGTTGTAATACTGGTTCTCAAGATCAACATCTGGTTCAGAATTACTCTCCTCTGAATAAACCTAAAAATATATTGAATAAATAAAATTGTGGTTTTTCTTAGTCATGTTATTTTAGATTTCACTTTACAGTGGAAATGTCCTGTCTCTATGTATTGTTCCTGAACGCTGTAAATTCTTTCCTATTTTTTTTTTATATCTCCTCTTCTCTGGTCCCAGTTTTGCTTTTCAGCATCAGGATTTGAAGAGGCATCTGGTGCCAGCCTTGGTAAATGCTTTGCAGGAATGGTATTCATGACCTTAGATATTCCATCAATTCATCGCTTGATTAAAAACAAACTAATGTTCTAAAATGACTACTTTGCTGAACCTGCAAATGATAAAATAATGGTTTTGCTTTTTTCCTCAAATGCAGAACATCAGTGGTTCTCAGCCTTCCTAATGTCTCAACCCTTTAATACTGCTCCTCATGTTGTGGTGACCCCCAGATATAAAATTATTTACATTGCTACTTCATAACTTCAGTGAATATTTTTTTTCTGATGGTCTTAGGTGACCCTGTGAAAAAGTCGCGACCCCTCAAAAGGTTTGCGACCCAAAGGTTAAGAACCGCTGCACTACACTTTCAAATGCCAGGAAAAAGTAAATGCAGCCCTCTCCTACAGTTACTAACTTGGTGTGTCACTGGAACAGCTCCAGAAAACATGCACATTCATGAAAATAACACTGGGCTATCAAAAGTAAACAACCAGCAACATCCCGAGTAAAGACAACAGTTTCAACAAGCAGACTCTCAATGTTACATTCTCTGAGATACTGACCTCTAGCATTTAACTCCCACTCTGTTTTACTGCTACCTTGAAATGGTAGAGTGGCTTGTGTGTAAATTATTCTAAGAGCTTTGTGAATAAATATTGGAGAGTCATGAAATAGAAACCAGATGCTATCTTACAGTTGGCTGGAAATAGTCAAGGGCTATGAAAAGCAAGCTATTCTTCTTTGTTCACCCTTAAAAGGGTGGTCAGCATATTCTGTTGTAAATTATTGCTGCTTCCTATGTGGGTTTCGAAGCCCTATTGTGGGCAAAACGAGAGTAGACCCACTGCCTCCCCAACAAGCATGTCGCAAGAGTCAACTAACCGGGTGCTTCCATCTGCCTGAAAGGCAAGGAACCAAAAATCTGCATACAATTAAGTCACATCTGTTAAACAGATGAGTATACAACACTCAGATTCTAAAACAAGACTAAAGTCAGAGGTGGACAAACAATGAGATCTTTACCCCCAGAGTTTACAGCCAGGAAAGGATGAGAAGAAGAAGTATGGCTGCAATATCTGCACTTTTTGACCCAACTGAGTCAGAGACTTGTTGGAACAGTGCAGCACAGTTCTCTTTAAGATCTCATGAAAATCAAACAGAATGGTGTTAATTCCATTGTCCAACTAGATGATTATTGTGTTGGGCACATTGCTGGTGGTCACTTTACCCTGTTGTGTGCAGTCAAGGTACTGAGGCATTGTGAAAAATTTAACTAAATACTTGACATGCAATATAATACCTAATGAGTCTTAAATTTAAAAAGTTGCTTATAACAAATCACCTCTGAAAAGACAAAATTGATGTAGCGTATATGCAGCAAACAAGAGAATATTAGTGCATACTGATCATGCAAGAAGGACACAAGAGAGGAGTTCTAATACTTAACAACAGCTTAGTACCAAGCAATGCAATATCTGTAAACTCTAACAATAAAACATAAAATGAATGAGATTGACAAAATGATAAAGAAAAGCAAAAATCATAATTCATAATGTCGACTGTAGTATAAGCCAAGCAAATAGAGAACTAACACTTTCAATAAATAGAAATAAATTATAAATGATAACTGAATAAAAGTCTGAGATTTTAACAGCCACTCAGAAACATAAGGTATCCAGATACTGACAAGGGAGAGAATGAAATGGAGGACTGGGAAATTGAGGACATTACAGAAGAGAATCATGTTCTTGTGCCTAAACCATTGGGGTATAAACAATGAAAAAGTTAACTGATGCATGACAAGCTAGATGTGACCAAGGCTATTTAGGAGCAAGTAAATGTAAATGCAGACGCACAAAGTAAACATCTGAAGAACACTGTTCTGAACAGGGAGTGACCAGGAGTCTAGTTGACACTACTACACTTCACTAAGAGAAACAAATACATAATCAGAATGTTGCTGGCAACATTAAATTAGATATTACAACTAAAACTGAGGTGTGTGAAATGGTTTTCCCTGTGTGACGTCCAGTGACTTATTTTATTTTGTTTTAATAGATCCACGCCCCCTCCCCCAAACAAGCATTTCATAAAAGTCAACTAAATTAAATAGGTTATAAGGGTTTTGCCTGTTGACGGTGATCTGACTGGATAAACAAATGTTATAATAATAATATTAATATGGGATGCACAAATTGCATTTAAAAATATGTCCTTTACTTAAATTTTTATTCTACCCAATCTAAAGTAAGCGTTACTTTCAAGTGTATATACGTATTATATAAAAATGTGTCCCATCCACCTAAACATGATGAGAAATGAAATCAGAACTGGCTAGGAAAAAAGTGATGCTTTGACATAGTGTTTTGCGTTTTGAGGTTTTGTTCTTCGTACTACTAACCTGTGTCTATTTTAGATATTTCTACACATTAAGAGGTGATGTTTAGTTAGTGCTATAAAAATACTATCTGCTACCGTTATATTGCAATATTATGAATACAACTGCCCAACACACCAGATCATATTCCTCCTCATCGTCACCGCACATAAACTCATCGTCCGACATTTCTCGGCTGTAGACTATAGTGACAACAATTTTTAATCCAACACAAACCAAATTAAAAGAAAAATTATACATATAGACTTTGTCTGGAATGTATTTAAAATTTTAGTACGGTATAAACACATTACTGTTTAAAATTATATTATTATTATTCTTTTATGCCAATTGTCCTGTTAACATCAATTCATTACTATATCTTAGCACGTATAGTTTAAAATGTTAAATGCCAAGCCAAACTGGCACCTTAGCAAAAATGTACATTGGAGGAAATCAGAGTGTAGCTAACAGAACAAAACGACAAGGGCAAGCCTACACCAGCAAATTACTTCTCATAGCCACTGCGTCTTCCATGACAGGTATCCACCTCCATGGAAGTCTGCCAATGCCTCGTTTTCTGAAACTACCCTCCATCTTCGTTCTGTCTAGGCCACCATGGCATTTACCCAAAATAGCTCAACGTAGGGGCAGAGTGCTGTTTTTGATCGAATTCCCCTCAGGACTGCTGCAGCTGGTCGTGTTTAGATCAGATAGGATGTCAGTGTTTCTGATCTTCTTGGTCCATGGTATACTATCAACTTGTCTGTAGCATATCAGTTCAGATTTTTTCCTTTTGGTATAAAGATGGTGCCGAAATGTTGTTTCGATTATTTTAGATATTTTCTGCCGTGTGAGACCAGGGTTCACACCTCGTTAAAGGATGTAGATTTTCCCTTTTGGGGCAAAATTAAAATCCTAACCTGCACAGTTCGTGTTATATGTATGAGTCGTGCGGTCTTAAATCCCAGGCTCCCCACCACCCTGTCTTACACCAACAAGACAGTAATGACATAATTTTCTGCCGTCTACGCACTGAATCATGAAATGTATGTTAGTTGAGTTGAGTCAAGAATTGCTATCACAGCACTCAGGATTCTCATAAGCGCTCCATCCCCATCCTCAGTAGTCAGGACAGAGTTCCAAAGGTAATGGTGCCGGTCGCAGTCTGATTTTATGTCCGTCTTGCCTTCCCTCTGAGCGTAGTGTGCCAGCTGAACCCTCTGGTCACACCCAGGTTCATCACTCTCTCCAGCCCATAATAATCTAGTTTTTCTTTTGACTTCGTTACTTGTTTTGAACTGTATATGAACAAATTAGGAAAAGCTTCGAGGCAATAGAAATACCGTTACGGAGATAAATGTTGCGGGGGGGGGGGTAAAGACAGTGTTCTTTGGCTATGTGATCAGATCGACATAAGGGATATTTGAGAAATACCATAAACAGAAACAACGAACATTACGCACCACGATCTATGTAAAGGCATTAATGAGTATAATGTAAGGTAAGGCACAAAATAATGACACCGAATGATGATGATGATGATAAACGGCAAAGTTCGTCAGTGTGCAGAAGAGTTGTCCACACAAAAACTGATCAAAATTGGGTTGATTCACGAAGCGACATCACAGCACTCAGCACAATACCATAAAAGCACCTAACCCCATCTTTAGCAGCCAGCGCAGAGTTCCAGTACCGCTGGTGCCAGTAACATTATGATTATACGTCCATCTTGCCTTTCCTCTGAGCGCCAAGTATCCGCCAGATCCCCTTGTCACTCCCCGCTGCATCACTCAGGCCAGACTATGATCCATTTGCTCTTCCCAACTGTATACGTGCTCCCACAAGGCTATGACCCCGTTTGCCGTATCATGCATAAGTATTCCGCCAAGTTGTGCACAATCAGTCAGTCTGTCCGCCTGTTTATTTCCCAACAAACCAGCATTTCCCAGAAAAAATATCCAAACAATGCCTCTCACACATGACCACAGAAGCCAAGCGTACCACTTTGCACGAAGCATGAATGCCCTCACCTTCCTCGGCATGCTCTCTACGTCAGTTACTAATAGATTTGTTTGCACGTGTCGTGTTCTCTAACCATAGGAAAGCTGTAATGACCTCTTTCATCTCTTCTTAACCTGGATGTTATGTAGCTTGTGCTAAAAATCCCCAAGCTTTTCTTTTGCCTCTTGACACTGTCCCGTCTGTATAAATATTCACATTCTCTGATCGAGCGTTATCTTTAAGTGAATTGCTGAATGTCCACCTCCCTGGCACCTTCTGGTCACTCTCTCCACTCTCAGTTCAATGTGACTATGACTCTACACAAATTTGACTGTGCCGCTGGCACTCTGACCCACTCCTCTCCTCGCCTAATGTTCTCCAATATGCAAACATGTCTGGTTGTTTCTTCTGCCTGAACAATCCGTGACTTTCCTCTTATCATCGCTGACCCTTAACTGCGTCCAAGGAAAGATATCAAACCGAACGAAAAGTATCTGTGTATATACAGTGAGGGTGAGAGAGAGAGATGGGGACGGGGAAGGTGGTATTTTGAAAAACTACTCCCATCTTTCCCAATGTTCTGTCATCATCATCATCACCATCATCGTCGCCAACTGCTTTGCCGACTGGCGTGGGCGACCCTGCCTCTCCATAATCTGCGATCTTCAACAGCATGAATCAGTTCGTGCACACTATTCTTTTCTTTGATATTACAGTTAACTGTCTTCCCGTTATTCAAGTTGGGTCCCCATTTTAACACTTTCTACCACCACAGAATTTATCAAACCCTGTAGTTCTTTCTGACTATCGCTATCAAGACTGTATCATCAGCATAAGGTACGTTTGGTTATTTTATAACCACTAATACGATATTTATTTTTTGATAAGAGATTTTTATGTACCAATGACTGGATAGAATTTAAAAAGACGACCTCTTTAACAAGTCAGTAAAGCTGAGAGAAGGAGTCTCTCAGAGTAGACTAAAAGTGCCAAATATTCTACTCTTTTACATAACAGCGCATTATTGTAGAGAGCATGTTTTGCACATACAGCATGGTCCCATTTTCTGCGGGGCATGTTTACTCCGAAGGAAAGAAAACAACAATACGACTAGGGGAAAAAGCATATTGCAAAAGCTGCCGGATCAAAAGATCAGTGCTCTGTCCGCCTATCGGAGTTTACTTCTTAGATCAGATGCCAACCAAGCATATAGATCTGGTCTACTTTGTCATAACATTGTTTTCAATTTGCTTTTCTCGTAAAAGGGTGAGTAACTTCAGTCTCCTCCCCAATACTTTCCTCCGCCCAAAATCGTTGGCACAATACTGGATGACAGGTTTACTGTGTACAACCCCCAACATTCGGTGTTAATAGAAAGCAAGTAGTACCGACAAATGCTAGTCATGCGTGTGTTCAAACATTATGTATTTATATATACACTTGTTTTGCCAAAGAAGCCACACACAAGCAGCAGAAGTGAATCTACATTGCATACCCTAATGGCAAGACAGACACTCAACAGTGGCACTGGAAGCTTGCACCAACTTCTTAACAGAGGCAGTAATCTAAGCAGTACAATAGACTCTCAAAGGCCCAGTTTAACTAAACAAAAAGCTGTCGTATACACAGACATATAAAAATAAGCTCCCTGAGGTTTCTCGTGCTTCAGAACAGAACTGCATCATCTAAAGAATTAAAAAAACACCAGAATTTTATCTACAAGAAGACAACTAGTTAACAGCTGCTTCCAGCCCACCGTGACATCCCTAGAAATGCTCACACGAAGCCTACGAGAGTTCCCTTCAGCGTCTGTCTCAGAGTTTAAATTGTCAATTATTTTTTAAACAATCTATAAAAATGAACTGGAGAGACGAGTAGAAAAAAGTATAGACCTGAGCAGGCTGGGAAATGTAGGAAGAAAGAAGATTTAAATAATAAATTGCAAATTTATGTTTGTTCGATTACAGAAGGTATATGTCACGGGAAAGAACGAACTCGAGAACTTGATGGTAGCTGGCAAGATTTATAGATTTATTTAGCAGGGAAAATGTAAAGAGATGAATACTTTAATGCGGGACACAAGCACTGACCTGATCCGTGATACTACTGATCGTGTAGGATGGCGAATCACTACGTCCTATGCCAGTCGGCATGGCTCATGATGATGACAATGATATTTCTAGGGAGAAGGGCGCTGGGCGATTTTGTCATTGAAAAGGGGAACATTAGGCCAAAAGGTTTGGGAACCTCTGGGCAAGATCAGCTCAACTGACGTATTAGTGAATTATGGACCTTAATCCTAAGAAGACTAGAAGTTTGTCTAAGGTAAGGGACAGTTAGGGACAGTCTTGTTTATGGTGGCAATACAAGCAGTTTCTTAAGTAATACAGTTAAAAGTCTCGGCCGAATGTGTGTTTCCTGTTCAGGCATGAATGCAGTCCAACAGAGCGGATGTACGAGAAAACAGAAATGGCCAACAGGCCATCGACAGATGTAGTCTGTTAGATCTGAGTCTCCATGTATGTTGATTCTGACACTCTCAAGGGCCATATTTATTTTCGAGACAAGTGCGAGCGGCGCAGAGACAATATTGGACGATTTGGTGTGTGTGTGTGTGTGGGGGGGGGGGGGATACAATGAGTGGCTGGGATGTTGCCGAGCCTATCAGACAGCTATGCCCTGGCGGAAGACGAAGCTGTTGCAACTTTTTAAGCCTGCTAGGGACAAGTGTTCGGTTAGCGGGTTAGGGGTATCCCCTATCAAAGGAGAAGTAAGACGCCTCCTTTCCTCCGCTAGTCTACGAGACACCCTTGGGCAAGGTGGAGTACCCGTTTAGCCCCCCAATCAGGGTTACGTGAAACCATGGAAGCAGGTGGTGGATGGAGTGTAAGAGCAGCCGACAGGTATTGTTGGTTATGGTCTGCACTCTGCGGCGATAGGCAGATGATCTCATCAGTAGAGACAATGGCTATGGCCACCGACTAGTATAGTCACTGCTCAGGAGGAAAGCAACGGCAAACTACCTTCTGCAAATTTTGCCAAGAATCCATAACAATCATGAAAGAACTATCTTCATTCCAATACCAAAAAAGGATGACCTGAAATTATGTACAAACTATCGAACTATTGCCCTGATCAGTCATGCAAGTAAAATTCTACTAAAAGATTATAATGAGAAGACTGCATAAGAACACATGGAAGAAGAGATTAATGTAGCTCAGGCTGGATTTAGACAGGGAAGAGGAACAAGAGATCATTATATTCAACATGCGTTGCCGTAATAATAGAGAAGTGTAGAGAATTTAATGTAAATCTGTTCTTATGTTTTGTGGATTATTCAAAAGCATTTGACTGTGTACAACATCAGAAGCTTTGGGAAATCATGAGGAATATGGGCTTTCCATCACATATAGTGCAGCTCATTAAAATGCTCTATCAAGACCAACAAGCAGCAGTCCAGAAAGATAGAGAAGAGTAGATGGACCCCCCACACACACATACATCAGTGGTTTGGCATCAAGCAAGGAGTCCGTCAGGGATGTGTGCTGTCACACCGTATTTGTTCAACCTGTACGCCGAAAATTATAATGAGAAATGTAAGAGATGATATAAACAAGGAACAATATGATGCCCTAAACATCGGTGGTCATGAAATACCAGAAATTCGTTATGCTGATGATACAGTATTACTATCAACATCACAAAATGGTTTAGAAAACTTATTAACCTCACTCCAAAGAAATAGTGAAAATCATAACTTATTTCTTAACACAGCAAAAACAAAGATAATGCATACAAACAAAACTGCCATGGAGAAGGAAATTTATGTTAATGAGGAAAGATTGGAAGCTGGTGGAAAATTTCGAATATCTTGGGTCACTGGTTACCAACAATGGTGACACAATGAAAGAAATTAAACGGCGACTATCAATTGCTCTTCAAAAATGACTAAAACAACTGAATAAAATTATGGAATTGTACAGATAGAATTACAAAGGTCAGATAGGTCAGTTTTAAGAGCCATGCATCTTTCCTATTGCAACATACGTCTGTGAGACCTGGACACTTACTAAACAAGCGGAACAGCGCATAAATGCATTTGAATATAAATGTTACAGACAGGTTCTAAGAATATCTTGGGTAAAGAAAAGAACAAATGCATCAATACTTCAAGAGCTGAATATTGAAGAGGGTTGGCTAGTAAAGACAATAAAACAAAGAAAATTGAAATATTTTGGTCACTTGAAACGTCATGGAAGTCTAGAGAGAACAATAATGGAGGGGTATATGCCTGGGAAGAGAGGAAGAGGAAGGCCAAGGAGAAGATGGGTGCAGGATGTGGCAGATGATCTCCAGATGGGTGTATCAGACGCAGGACATCTTGCTCATTATAGGAAGGTTTTCCGGAGGGTTGTTATGGCAGCGAGGTTCCGCGAGGGACATGCTACTGAATGAATGAAGGGACAAGTGTTAAGTAGGAAAAGCCAGGCTAGCGATGAACTAAGTCCACTAGATAATACATTTAGCGACTTCCAGAACTGAACCGCCATTAGTGCTAATTCCATTAAAATATCGGACTCATTTTGACCCCCGCCCCCACTTTAGCTGTCGTCATGGGGCCCTACTATAATTCAAAGGTTAAACGGGATTTCTGGGACGTGTCCTGTGAAATTCTTATCCGAATGTTGGCACTTTGTGTGACAAGGTGTTAGTCGTTCATGGTGCAGTGATGGTTGGATTGAACTTCGCTCTCCTATCAGCGCTTTAATGCCTGCTAAGGAGTCGCTGAAATTAATAAGTTATAGCACACACGATTTCAGACATAAAAACCCTAGGACAAATCAGGCAGTTATTGCCCTGGCTACACGCAAGGGGCGGGACAAGAGCATTGGCCTGATCCGCAATTCTGCTGTTGGTGTAGGAGGTGAATCACGACCACCTATGTTTATCGGCATGGCCAATGTTGATGATGATGATATTTCCAATGAGAGGGGGCGCTGAGTGATTTCAAAATATTCACATCTTGCAATTTAAAACTTTTTGGCAATGAAGCATGTGCTATTGGAAATACTTATTATGACTATTTTAATATTAAATGGTATTGTCTTGCATGATCCCTGTGTGCCGTGAACGTTAATGGGGGGGGGGGGGGGGGCACTTTTTCAAGTTACATAACCTGATGTTTCTCCTTTAGTGATACCACGACTTCTTTCCTGCAGCTGAAGTCGGCCGTGACAGATACTTAGAATAAACAGAGGGGGACTTTTGAAGACGTATAAATAATAAAGATATATAATTATTAAAGAGAAAATGTATTAACCGGCACTCATAGAAAGAAGTAGAAAGATAGAAGAAGAAGTAGGCACCCCTCCCCCTGCCCCCCCCCCCCCCACACATACACAAAAGCTGTCCACATTGGCATGTCTATCGTACAGCTGTGACTGACAATGTTCTACACTACACACTTCATTCGTGAAAACAGACACATCCTCTTCCGGTTTCGTTTGTGTGTTTTTCCCCATTCTTTATTTTCCACTGTAATGTTTCGTGGATCATTTTTGGAGGAAGCATACAAGGGACTCAGGCTTGAGCGTTCTAATTATTCAGAATTTAATTTTAATACTGTCGAGTGTTGCTACTCCTGGTGTTTATATCTGAACAGTGTCGACATCGTACTTGTCAGCTGAGGTACTGGTACAGGTATGTTGTCCTATTAAAGACTAAGTAAGTAAGACTAAGAGGCTTAGTGATAGTGAATTAAGTGTTTAACTTTAGGTCATCTGAGTAACAAACTGAAACTCATTCTCACAACACCGACAATAAACCTTCCTTGAAGTTTTCAGTTTTTAGTTTATAACTTTATGTTGAAGTATAATTTATAAAGTAAGTACATGACTGGCAACTACATGCTAACACAATTCCGAATTCCTTCTTCTATAGATATAGATGTCAAAATTGGGCTCTCCTCCGAACTTCTACACCCGCATTATGGCGGTCTGAAATATCCATTCGGGGCTCAGTTCTATTAAAAATATGCCGGCTCCGTATAACGAAACAAATGCTCTAACAGGGTCTCATCGATATGTTACTTGCGGACGTGTTTCTGTGACTGCCTCACCGCCAAACGTATCCCCCGCGCCGCTACAAGCGGCGTGGATAGGGGCTAAACTAGATGGCTGGGACTCACGAGCAGCAGCTACTGCATCTCCTGCAACTTCCTCCAATTACTTTGCTCGTGAGTCCCAGGCATCTAGTTTAGCCCCCCTATCTTCGCCGCACGTAGCGGCGCAGGGGGTAACCTCGGCAGTGAGTTTAATCGCGTTTTGCGCATGCCAACAAATCTGACATTTACCGCTGCTAAATCCTCAATCGGAAGAACAGTATTGCTAATCTGTGTGGGAGCGCGTGGTCTACCCGCCATATCGCTTTCATCGTCTGTAATGTCTCGAAATTGTCAACGATCGCTTTTATCATCTGCTAGTATCTTCTGCAGAAACGCTTAACACTGTCTCCGGTCACTTCTATCGCCTGCAATGTTGCGTCTCTTGAAATTGTCAAGTGATCCTAGTTTTGCTGCAATTTTTTTCCTTGGCAGAAAGTCCGCATTTTTCATTGGACTGAGCCCCAAACGGATATATCAGGCCGCCATAATGCGGGGGTAGAAGTTCGGAGGAGAGCCTAACATTGTATGCTGTTAAATAAATTATTGAGCAAATCATAAACTATAAAATATAAATAGTGATAAATAATTGAATGTTAAATATTGCTATAATATAACTAAACTTATATTATAATACACATAAATACCAATAATATTACTATATTTCTATAATACTCCCCTTTCCTTTTGAATTTAACAGGCATAAAAAAAAGGGTGAAAATACTATTAGTAGTCCAAGGTGTGTAAGTTAAAGAAATGTTGACGGTGTGTGAGCTTGTGTAACAGAATGGGAATGAGCCTCATGCATTCATGTCTCTCTGTCTGCCACAGCTGTGTTCACACATGTCCTCTTTTTATCTCCAAATGAAGGATACGTCCCCAAAAAACTCACAGCAAGTCCTTTGTAGACTGGGTTGTTATGATTAGTAGCAGTAGAAATTATCCACAGAATGAGATAGCCAGTCTCATGCCAACACCCCACCCTCTTTTCCCAAGCTGGTTCCAATCATTTGTGTGGTAGCTGGTAGATAAACTAGGTTTCACTATTACCTTTCAGTGGATCCTGGTTAAAAGTGGAGGGGGGGGGGGGGACAATAGACTCGCTGTCTGTTAACAAGCATGCCCTAAAAGTTGACTAATTAACTAAAGGTTTGTTAAAATTCAGTAAGCTGGTGACAGTGATTTCAGTCACAGGCATGAAGGAAAGTTGAACATGTTTCACAGTCCTTGATAGATCAAAGTTTGGTTAAAATAAGATCCTTCTCATATCTAAAAGTCAAAGGTATGAATGTTGCCCTATGGAAGAGATTAGGAGCTCGCCACCTAGTATTCCCTGATACAATAACAGATCACATATCCACTACAGCCAACCTTCATTATGGGGACAACAAAAAAATGTTTTGTTTAAGGCCAAAGCTTTGTAAAGATTCTTTTTTTATGTGAGCATTAATTGTCCAGTGTCCAGCAAGATTGGTTACTGCCAGGAGTTGACAGGCAATGGCTGACGGAGAGCAGCAGTTTACCATCTATGACCCGACCTCCAACCAGCCTCTGACAGTTACTGTCAACAATGTTGTCCAGGGGTCTGAAGATGCCCAGGCTGTTCAGAGCATTCAGTACATCACTTCTGATGGTGTTCAGGTGACATCACTAGGTGCTGGTGATGTTATTCAGGTAAGCAAACTGTACAAATGGAATTTGTAAAAATGTTGAATTGTTCAAATTGTTTTAGCTAAATTTGCTTTACTGTCCTGGCATTTACAGAGCTAATACAAGTAATAAGGCAATGAACAAAAACAAAAGGATGAAATAGAATACATTTCATACTATACATCCCAGACTCCTACAATTGAGGACAAAAAAAATAATCACTTTGCTGAATTGCTAAAGGATTCATTCAGAAATTGTGTTAAGGAATTAAAACACGTTATATTAAAAAAAAACATATAATAAATCAAGCAAGAATCCTCATATAAAGGTTAAAGGTGAGACATTCAACTCCATTGCACAGAGTTTTATTCCATTTGGCTTGGTCTCTCTCTGCAGAACAGCTAGCCACCTGCAGTGAGCATCACACAAAGCACACACTGTGTAGCTCGGACAATGTTCTTTAAGGATCTTTGTAAAAACTGAACCTGTGAACCAAACAACACAGCCATGAAACGAACCCACAGCCTTTAGAACATGAGGCAGGCAGCTTGATCACAGAGAACCTTCAGAAGAATCCTCATATGTAACTAGGAAATGGATTGTAGAAATAAAGATGGAAGAATTATAGTTGGTAAAACATACATTTACATATTATGAGCTGTGTATACATAACATCTATTCAGAGCAATGAAGATGATAAACTGTAGCTGTATAATGCTTACCTGGGCCTAGCTACTAAAGAAGAAGAAAGAAGGCCGTAAAAAAATGTCAGAATGCAGGCCCATATAAGATAAAAGAAATGGATAAATCTTCATCCAACATTTGCATTGATATGATCACATAAATATGTACTCAAATACACAGAACATATTTTTGGTCTTTTAAAAAAAAAAACTTAGGTATATTAAATTATCATGTATTATTGTTTATATTGCTAAGTCTTGGTCTTAGTTGAGGTTTCAGTTTCACTGCAAACAGGTCACCCCATACATGCTCTATTCCAGTGCCATGGAAAGTCACATGAAATGTCTATTACAGTCCTTTTTGACAAAATGGTGAACAAACAGTTATTCCCAACACAGTCTACTCATAAAAATAGTCAAGTTTATCACAAGAACCTGTCTCTCGGTGTAAATCAGAAAGCAAACATAAGAAGAAAAAGACAGTCTAGAAATATATGCTCGCAAAAAATGCATAGGGCAGTTGCTAGAGTTGCCAAAGCCTACAGTCGCCACCAGAAATAAACTATGTCATTGATGGAAGTACTTGGTCATGAAAAGTTTTCTATACACATGTAAATCTACTAACAGCCATATTGAAAACCCGGACTCAGCCGCTGCACAAATAAAAGGCTTTCCTAGTGAAAAACACAGCTCACAGTGCTGCAGCAAGCACTTAACTCAGCAAATAGAACGATATTGGGTAAGGGAAGTTAACTGACTACATAAATACACTAAAAATTCATAGATATTTCCAGTCGCTTGTCTTAAATTTTTTAGTATTTTCAGTTGGTAGTAAATAATTCCAGTTGTTGGTCACTTATTCCAGTAAGTGATTGTCTTTAGTCTTTTAGTCATAAATCATAAATAGGAGCTTCATGATTTTGTCATATTTTGGACATCATACCAGAAATCATATATATATTAATGAGAACCAGAGATGAAATATATTTAAGACATGAATGAAAAACACATGGACCTCTGTTGTCTCTCTTTGATAGGTTGCCCAAGGGGATGGCAGTTTTCAGCAGGCTACAGCAGGTTTCCAGACATTAAGCAACACAGGACAAGCTCAGGTGATCACTAACTCACCATTTGCCACCAACCCCCAGGTTTGTCAACACTTTTGTTTTGTGTGGATTCCAGCAGTATATTTTTTTTATTAATGTAGTTTTCCATTGCACAGGATCCGCAAGAACTGTTAGAAATTGTAGTTATAGAGAGTGCAACAAAAGAAGTGTTTTCTCTACAAATCTAGGATAACATCAGATAGAAGCTGCATGACAGTGATTAAGAGCAGAATGTAGGGAAGTAAATGACTCTTATCACACCTTGAGGTCATTATGGCATATGACACCACTCCAGCCACTTTTACTTTTAGGAACATGTCCTGTTTAAGCTGGATCGACCAGGGAGCCAAGGTCAGTTGTTAAAAATTCCCCCTGATATGGAATCGAACCTAGGACAGCCAGATGAAGTTCTGCCAAATTTAACAGTGGAAGTGAACATGTGCAGTATATCATTATACACACAGAGCATTCTCACATCACTGTGGCATCGGATATATGTTTCTAGGCTCATATTTGTATAGACTTTCTATGAATTGTCCAAGAGGGCACAGATGTATTCATATTCTAGTGTGTCTCTGTTTGCTGATATTTGTTTTGAGCTTCTCTTTTGTGTTGCTAAATATCAGTGTCTAATCCACATTCTGTGCTTTACCTAATGCTGGGAAATGTAGACAAGATCAAATGTCATCTTTATGTTCCAGTATCTTTCCATACCAGTTTTAGCCTGAGTCAACCTGTCTGCTATGTATTTTAAGAAACAAGCCATGTCTTTTAAAAAACATCCTACCCCTCTTTTCCCCCTAATTATGGATTCAAGTCCACTTTTGGGCTAGTAATGTAGACACAGCATTTCTACGACTGACCCTCTGTCATTTGTAGATTTATTGCTCATGGGGGGGGGGGTTATTACACTAACTACCTACTTCATTTGCTTCATTACAATACAGCAGGGTATAACCCTTGTATGTTTGTTGAGATAAGTTATAATTTGAATCAGTTGGGTTACCGTTCAGTTATAACATGCAGTGGTCATTCACTGAGACCTCTTCATCGTTGCCATTCCTCTATTGGGAAATTATTACAGGTGACCTCCCTGGTGCAGTCAAATGTTCTCCAGAATGTTGTCCAGCAGAGTCAGGCTGGGCAGCAAACAGCTGCAGGTGTAGCCGGGACATCAGCAAATGTTAGCACCATCACAGGCATTCCACAGATGTTGTTTTTGAACCAAGTAACAATTAATGGACAGACTCACTATGTTCTTGTTGATGCAAGCAATAAGCCTGTTCAATTACCTCAAGGTAAATTTTCAATAATATCTCATGAATACTTGACCATTTTCAGTCATTTGTGTAACTTTACATTAATTACTTTCAGTTATTTGTGGAACGATAACTTCACCATAACTGTGGAACGATAACTTCATTATTTTATTATTTTTTTTTGGTTGGGTTATATTTAAGGAAAACAATTATTATACAAAGATATTTCTATAAGTATTCCAGTCTTCTGTCTTTAATCATGAAACAAGATTATTAGAATAGGGCACAAATCTCTAGCACAGACAAGAATCAGAATGTATGTTTGTTAGAACCTGTTTATATATTTTCTTGCCATGGACAGCTTTCCTACTTGTTTAGAAGTTTAGCATGAACATTGACCTGTTTGACCTGTTGTTGTGGTTTTTTTTCTTCCGTTTATTGAGTCAGGATGGCATATACCATTCTTTTTCCATTCCTGTAAAACTCCACCAATTCACACAGTTGAACAAGGTTTCTACTAGCCATTGATCATAAGCCCCTAAGTTACCTTAATAATTGTAAATACAGTCGACTCTGGATAAGTAGAAGTCACAGGGACCTAAGAAAATTGTTCCACTTATAAGGACTTCTACTTATACAGACAGCACACACAATAGAGAATGTACACTAAAACCATGCATGCCAAAGCATCCTACTGTGATACAGGTTGCACTTGCAGCCTGTGGTCATCCAGTCTTTTCGTGGAATGATTGGCATTCATAGCCCTAAAATATCACTGCTTCAAAGAGTGGCACTGATAAAAACATCATCAATGTTCACAAACTCCTCTGATTCAGTGTTAATCACTCGATACAATCTAGCAAGTAAAAGCTCCACTAATATAACACATTTTGTTTTTTGAAAGGAAATGTTTAAGTCTCCAAAATAAGCCAGTTTCATCGGCGTTAAATACACCCACAGAATTATATTTATCCAGAGCAGGTTTAAGCACTTTTTCCTGTCCATGAATGAATCTTTGCTTCCTCAACTGATTGTTTCTCTCCACGGACACTCTTGTTTTGTTATACAATGTCTCTTTTTGAAATGACCCAAAGAGCTAGTACATGCCCAGTCTGTCTGACCTCCAAGACATGCAAATTGCTCTGCTTTTGCCATAATTAATTGCCAGTTTATGGCTACATTTGTCAACTAAGAACAGTGAACCATTTTAAAAGGGCAATATCAACAAAATCTCATGTCGCTGTTCTAGCTCGCTGTCTATCTCGGTTGGTTTGACATTCCAAAAACAATGTTCTGTAACTTTCTTTATGCTTCAAAATGCCAGAAAGTCTCACACCTGGAATACCATATTCTCAAGCTGTGTCCACTTTCTTCTTCCCACTATGTTAACTCTCTGCAAACACCTCAATCTTTCTTTTTAAAGTTATTTAAGTAGTTAGCTTTCGACCACCAGCTGCTATTGTGAAGACTGTAACTGTATGTAGGCAGATATTGTAGATGCCAGATTTTTCATAGCAATTTCTCACGCTGACTAAAAAGAATTCTTTGATGAAACACAATATTTTTCATATGCTTATGAACAGTTCAAATTAAACATGAACATGTATATACAGTATATGTGTAATGGCAACAGTCATTTTAACTATTTGTTTAGCATGTATAATATTGTGACTTTTAAATAATATTAAATATAACAAACTATATTTGTTAACATTATAATGCTCATAATAATTATATAAACAGTGGTTTTAAAAAAAGCAAATTCAACAGCAAACTTGTCTAGCAAACAAATGCTATGTCTATTTGCATACATTTCTTTTACTTTAAGCAAATGGATTGTTTATTTAAAGATTCATTGTCATATCTATTAATGTTTTAGTCTTCATTTCTAAGGTATCCAAGTGATTAATCTACCCAATACACAGCTTGCAGGACAACCAATACAAATGGTGAGTTCAGCAACAGGTTACTTGAGCTAGTCAAATGTAGTTGTTTTCATGTAGTTTATCATCTCTGTTGACATGCCAGTCATTATGTATCAGTCGAGTTAATATCATCACGGTCTCTTGTCTTCTGGATCAGTTCCATCAATGATTTCCCTCCTTGCCACCACTGCAGTCCATCCGCCATCATCTCTGTCAGTCTACCTCTCCCTCTTCTACCATTGATCTTTCCAGTCATCGCAATGTTCTCCAACGCCTTCCCCCTCATCACATGACCAAATAACGCTGCTTGTTTTTTCCTTATAGCTGTATTTATTGATCTGCTTTCATTAGCTTCTTTTAAGCAATACTCATTAGCCACTCTGGAAGTTCAAGGGATTCTTAACATTCGTCTGAAAAACCACATCTCCATCGTCTGCAAATTCTTTTTAATTTGTTCATTCACATTCCATGATTTACTATCATGCAGCAATATAGGTTCTGTGTAACATTTTAGTACTCTTTTTCGGACAACGAAAGAATAGGGACCTGTTGTACAAGATGTTCTTCATTCTTCATCTGCTGTGATGTATAAATGTGTGAATTACAGAACTCATAATTCATTGTTGAAGTTCAGACTAGTGGTCATATGTAGTTGAAATGCAAACAGATTTCTGGACCTTTGACTGACTGATATATTTCAGGTCTGCCACCTGAAGATTTGAACCCCATGTGACTCAAAGAGCCTGACCAAGAATGCCTGACCAAGAATGAATTTTTAAAAATCTCCTTTTTGGTTAAAATCAAAATTCCTGCAATGGCTACATCAAGTATTACCCTGGTATACCTTGCTGTCCATGGTGGGTCAGGATGAGACCTTTGGCCAGTTATAACACCCTAAATATGGTGGCATGTTTCACAACATTGTTAGCCTAATTGCTGCCACTTATACATAATAGCAGAGCCATGTCTCTTGTAGTCCAGTCCTCACCTTTTGACTTGTTCAGTTTGAGAGATCCATTGAGAAATTCTGGTACATCACTGCTGCTGAGTTTTTGAGCACAGGGGAAATATGTGATGATATACTGTTGAAATCAAATAATGTCCAGTTTGTCAATGCTTTGAAATGTCATTTGAACTATTTAGATAATTAATAAGTCTGTCTGCGCTATAAGAAGATTAAAAATATTGACATTTTAAAAGATCTGAACATCAAGGAAGATTGGCTAATAAACACCATCCTTTCTTGAAAGCTGAAATACTTAGGTACTATCAAGCGCCATGACGGATTGGAAAAAATTATAGCAGAAGGCATGGTATCAGGAAGGAGGGCAGGGGCCGACTGACACGAAGATGGGCACAGGATATAAGTGACTCCTTGAGTGTGAAAGTTCATGAGGCGGGAGAGCTGGTGAGAGACCGAGTTTCTTTCAGGCAAACTGTGATGAGAGCGACGTTCTGCAAAGGACCTGCTACATGATGATGATGATCTGCGCTATTATAGTTCAGATATGGAAAAATATATAATAAGTGGCATTCCTTTACCACGTGTTTTTAAACTCCAGGTTTCCCCGTGTGGGTTCTGGTGCCCCTTTGTGGGGAGATAAAGAAATTACCCACTGCCTGCCCAAAGGCATATCGTAGAGTCGACTGATTGGGAGCTTCCTTCAAAGTCCGAGTGCATCTGCCTAAGAGACAAGGAACCAACAGTTTGCATGCAAATTAGTTAGACCTGTGAAATATATGTGCATGCAACACTCAGTTTCTGGAACAAGATTAGAGTCCAGAAGTGGACGAGCAACCAGAAATTTCCGCCGCAGTTTACAGCCAGTGAATGCGAAGAAGAAAAACACCAGGTTATAAAATATGCTGAAGAACATTGCACTAGGTCGGGCTTTCACAGATTGGAAAAAACCATAAGGCTTTGGCAGTCTCAGTGGGATATTTTGTGCAAAATGAACAAAGAAAAATTGTGCATAACATTAAAATAAAAGTGAAAAATGAACGTTTCTATAAAATTTTTGCTTTGGAAAATTTCTTTCAATTTTTGGGGTGCCTTTTATACCATCAACTGTGGTAATTTATCCAGTGTAAAGCTGCACGTGTTCAAGTACGCATGGAGCTGGATTTGCTCATTCATATCATTGACTCCCAAGTCGACCCAGCCTTATGTGGGCACCAGGTAAAGTCCTAGGAACTAAAGCGGCTGGCGTGATGTTGACCACATCACCCATCGAAGGCTGATTGGTCTATAAGATATGGAGTCTGGCCTCACTTGCTGAGTGCACCACTGGTGTGTCAAAGGACCTTTGCTTTCCATCATCATCATATACCACTTCTGCCGTTAAGTGTCGTTGGGAGGAATAATTTGCAATCTAATGCACGCTGGCTGCCACTGGCTATTGTCATGCTGTGAAGGCTTAGTGTCTCTAATGTTGTTGGTCCATATTTCCGTGGCCGTCCTCTTGTTCTTCTGAGATGTAGTGCTTGTGATGGTATTTGATCTTGCTGCATTCTAACGAGATGGCCAAACCACTTGATCTGCTGTTTCTCGGTGAATCTAGTACAAAATGACATTCTTACAGTTTGATAGTATCATTATTCACTCGATCTCAGATGGTTAGGTTGGCTGCTTTTCTCAGGCATCTCTAACCTTTACTTTACTTACTTTAAAGCTGCATGTTTCACGTTTTGTTATTTTTCTCAACTATCATCAGCCTACCAGTGATAGTGGAGATGAACCCTTATACGTCAATGCTAAGCAGTATCACAGAATACTTAAAAGACGACAAGCAAGGGCTAAATTGGAATCAGAGGGAAGAATTCCCAAAGAAAGACAGGTACGTTCAGAAATGCCACAAATATTTGGTAATTTTAATAAACTCTGGTCTTTATTTAGAATAATTATCACAGACATCCGTTGTGGCAAACAGTGCAAATTATACATTTAAGCTGAAACTTGATAAATGGAAGTGAATCATGGACAGTTGTGCTATTAGTGAATAATTATTTGGGAACAGTGGAGACATTGTTTTATAGACGAATGATAAAAATACCTTGAACAGAAAGAAGGAGTAATAAAGATGTCTTGAAAGAAACTGACCAGTGAAGAGAACTGATTACCCACATAAGAAGAAGACAATTTACATTCTTTATTTAGTCATGTCATGAGAAAGAGAAAACCAGAGTACATAATGACAGTGTCAAAAGAGGAGGGGAAAAGAGAAAGAGGTAGACTGAGAAAGAAGATGCTGGACAGTTTGACACGATGGCAGATCATATGTGTCAGAATTGATTGAAAAAACATGAGACACAGGGTTTTGGATAGATATAACTACCAATGCAACACAGCTTGGACTGAAAAAATTAGTTCAAACCAGTATCCTCCCATATAGTCTGCATAGCAAAACATTGAGAACTTTCCACTGGAGTTTACGGCTAGTGAAATGTGAGGATTAAGTAAAGTTAATTAATGGTTACGTAAAGTGAAAGGACCCTTTTCCATGGCTTCAGGCATCTTGGGCATATAGTGTTTACAGCTGTATTTTATAGCCCAGTTGGCACTCGGTCGGTGATGTTGTCAATGTCACGTCCATGACTTTACCTGGTGTCCATTTACGGCTGGGTCTACCTGTGAGCTGAGCTCACTTGTTTTTTTTTTTTTTTAAGTTTGGCTTTGTTCAAATTTGAACCATGACCTTTGATCCACATGCGATTGTCTATCGGCTACACCATGGTGGTTTCCATAAATATTAATAATTGCTTTATTATTTAATGGCCAATATACAAATAAAACACAGAAGTAAAAAAGTTGCTCTATTTGACATGTTTCATGGTTAATAAATGCCTAACTTATTGATCCAGATATTTTTAAAAAAGACAACACGTTTGATAAAGGTGAATTTCTTCCTGTCAGCCTAAACCTGCTAATGCTTAGAATGATCATAGACTGGGGAACACTATAGACTGTCAGGCTGTTATAAATGTCTGCATTCACCATTTTTTTAATGGCAGTGTAGTGGGAGGGGGTTGGGGAAGTGAGCCAGAGGATTTAGGCCCTATTGGCTAGTGTTACCTTGGACTGTGAAGGTTAGGATGGTTGTTGTTTGCCCCGACAAAAAAAAAAAAAAAAAACTCCATCACCTTACATGACCACTACTGACGGCTGAATAAAAGAAACAAATTAACTGGGAAGGATGTTTATTCATGTAAGATAATGGACAGAAGTCTGTTTCATAGAACACACAAGAAAAACAGAATCACTGAAAGCTGAAGCTACACCAGAAATATCTGACTATACATTTACATTTTGTATGCTGAAAATTAAAAGGTTTTTGAAAACTGCATTTAATTCATGGTTTTGTTGTCTCCAGAAATATCTCTATGAATCTCGACACAGACATGCGCTAAACAGGGTCCGGGGATCTGGTGGTGTCTTTATAGCAGCTGACAACAAGCCTATTGTACAGAAACAAATGCACCACCCAACAAAACAGGAATACGAACACCTCCACCATGGGCACCTCTGACATTATTCTGTGCCAGGCTCCTCCATGAACTCATGAACTGTAGTTTAGTCTGACTATTAAAATTACTTGTCTGGCATTGAATCTTGAAATAATTTGATGTACTTGTCTCATGCACAGAATTTATTTGAACAAATGCATTTGTTTCAGGGTCCACACAATATTTTTATTGGGAAGGTTGGGGGGAAGGGGTTCCCGTGGTGTTGTTTTGAATTCTTGCTTTGAGATTAGACTAACTAATCAGTCAGGATGCAGAGCTGTCATTCAGGGGACCATGGCTGTGAATCCTCAGTAAGGTAATAGAACTGTTACTATCTGGAGTGAAAATAAAAATCATAACCTGCACAATTGGTAGTGACTGTGCTAGCCATGTGGCTCAGTGTTCTCAACCCAAAGTGGTCAATGCAGGCAGTAAAGTAAAATTATTTATTCTGTTCACATTTATGTTTTAAAAAATGACAGATGTTAATGTGTGTCTTTATGTTTCATTTTACTGATATTTCATTTGTTTCAAACCCTCACATGTCTAACCATTTTCACATTCATTTATTTGTCATATCTAACTGTTTAGATGTATAATCATCTTTGTTTCATTCATCATTAAAATTTTGGGAGATATCAAAAAAAAAAGAGCCCACACCTGTAGCACTTGAACTTGTTTATGGGAGGGTGTGGAGTAAGATATTAACCTGTTGTGTGCTGAGTTCATTGACCAACTGTTGCATTCATGGATCTTTTGTGTTGACTTGTCTTTTGTGTTATCTTTTGCATTTGTGCATATGTTGTATTCATATTTTGTCTGTGCCATTCATGTGTCTGTTGTGTTTAATCTTATGTGCTGATCTATTGTGTGTTGAATTCATAGATCTGTTGTGTTAACTCGTCTTTTGTGCTGATCTATTGTCTGTTACACTTAGGTATGTTATGTTTGTCTTTTTTTTTCTCTCTCCATATTTTGTGTTGTATTTATCTACTATTCATCCACTGTCTTTTGTATTCTGTTGTATTTATCTGTTGTTTGTTGTACTGTATATATTTGTTTTTTTTTTGCATTTGTGAAAAAAAGGGGAAAATATCTGGCATCAAATTTTCTTCTATTCGTATAATTATCATGGGAGCGAGAAAGGCACTGTGGTAGTCAAAAGAAAAAAGGTGTCTAATTTTGTCTATACCTGTTAATCCAGGCTTGTGTTGTTCCACCCATGGCCAAACTTTAGTTACTAGGCCTAGCTACTGACGTCATCAGCGGGACGTGACGTCACCGCCGCTGGCTAACGTTATGTTACTTTTTCACTCAGACGGTACCTGTTTTTTTTTTTTTGTTCCCGGCCGTCCCCTGAGTACTAGCCCACAAAAAGTATAGCAGTAAGCTCATGGCTATTCAACAGTCAGCCCGCGGACCAAATTTGGCCCGCTGAGGCCTAGCGAGTGGCCCGCCGATCACTGCTGGTTGCAATGAAATAATGCTTTTTCTAAGCTGGGACTCGGACTGCTGGCCCATAACGATCCCTAATTTTACAATGTTGGCTTCTGAGTTAACCTAAATTGACTTAGTTGAACAGCCCTGGATATAGGTATTGACAATAAGACATGGAAACAAAACACAACAGAAACTACTGACATATTCACAATATGACATAGAAACTAAAAGCACAACAGAAACTACTTACCATGTAGCTGTCCAAATTGAAGTTACATAATCCGTGAAATCCATTACTGGGTGAATTTGGCCATTTTATCCAGCAAGGATGTGTCGGTTTTGATTTTGCGGTAGTTATTTAGGAAAACATTTGCCAGAGATGACAGCGCTTTGGAAGCAATGTTTTATTTTAGAACAACCCTCAGCACAGACACCACCTATTTCATCCTTGAAATAGTTTGTAAACTGCATGAAACAATATGCATAAGCAATTTTTTTGTGATGTTTGCAGGCTAGAAATTGTGTTTCCAACTCAGATATAAGCTTCTGCATAGCTGCATATGTGACAAATGTTATTAAACTTATAAATTTTGAAGGGTATTTCAAACCTCCACGGTCAAGCAAATAGTGTTGACATTGCCCTGAGTCAACATCATTTGATAATGGCCTGTCCATCTGCAATAAAGTCTTGCAGGCAGCACACCTAATTTTTTTGTTCAGTGTACTTGAGACAAATCCAGCAATATACACCAGTGACTCCTCTGAACCTTCCGAAACCAATAATTCACAGTCATTTGGGTTTATTTGAAAAAAAACCTTGTTCACGTCCAGCTGAACAGCATCAGTAATTATGTCATCCCCAGTTTCATCTTCTTTGCTGCTAAGAAATTCTGAGAGGTCACGGATAGGAAAATCTCCATAAGTCGATGAGGACATACTTAACAGTGAGTAAACTTTAAGTTTCTTTTCTGCTTCTAAAACTTGCTGCACAGATACTAGGTAGTTTGCTCCTGACAACTGCCGATATTCACCAAACCGAGCTTCTAAGTTGTCAGTCTGTAACTTTCCAAGAAGTATAAAACTGGCTTCTGTTGTTGCAAATAGATATTTGATTAGAGAAAGCACTGTATGCAGCAGTGCACTTTGTGTTTCCTTGGTCAGTTTTCCTTGACAGCCAGGCAGCTTGTCCCACTTTCTTAGCCATTCAGCAAACTGTTCAAGATAATGCACTTGTTCATCATCATTTGACAATACAGGATTTGAGAATGAGTTCAGTGTCTTTTTACCTACAAATTTACTTTTCACATTAACAATATGCCACCATCTAAGATGGCTTCAATAAAATCTGCTGTTTCATTACTGCCTACTAGACGCAGAGCAGCAACATTGTATTCATTAAAAATTGCCAAAGCAAGAGGAACATTCTGTCTGTCCATGCTGGAGGGATAGATGGCTTTGTGGGAAAGTTTAGGTGCCAGTTTTGCAATATTCTTTTGCTCACTATAATACAGTTTCTTTAAATGAGAAAAAGTTAGCTTCTGCAGCTCTATCAGTATCACAGGCGTTTAGCATTTGTCCAGGTATTAAAGGATAAGTAAATGTCTGGTTTGTGTCCTTCTGGTTGATCCAGTTCCTCCACATGCATTTTAGCAAGTGCACAGAATCATGCAGTAAAAATATTTTTTTTTTATTAGCAAAATCTGGGTTCTCAATAAAAGTTTGGCTTGGTTTCAGGAGAACACTGTAAACTCTGCGATTGACAGCACTATTATCTGCAATTACAGCAACTACTGTGAAACCACACTCCTGTACAAAGTGGATACAGTGGAGTAATTTCAAACGTAGATCCTGAGATGTCATTCTGTTCACAGGTGAAAGCTCTATAATTTCCTGGTAGCTTCCAAAAACTGAAGATATGAGGAAAGCCTGCACTGTTGTTGCTGCTTCTTTTGCATTGTCTGCATTGCCAAATATTTTGCCCCCAGAGTAAGTAATTGCAGATTTAACATATATTTCATCCATCTGAACCACTACAATCTTTTCTAGCTCTGTCAGTTTGTCTTGTTTCAATTTCAAGTACTGTGAAATGCTGCCAGTATGAGTAGACAATGACAACTGTGAAGTTAAATTGTGCAGTGTTCTTTGATGAGGCAGGCACAACATACGAGATTTTCTTATAAACCGGTAGCATGCTGGAGATTTAATGAACAGCATGAAAGCGAAACATAATGTGCTACAACTGTAACGCCTTCTGATTTTTAACAGGGTTAAAAGTTGCAGCTGCTCTGCAAGAAAGTTTACTTGTGTGTCAGTTACTTCATCAGCTGTCCCATTAGGAGTCCACTGTTGCTCTGCAGCACTCTTCAAAATACTTCCTGCTTCTCCCACTAAATCTGTGAAGCTATTTTGGCTTTGAATTTTACTATAATCCCAGGCATTGTAATGAATTACAAGATTTTCAAGCTGTGACCATCTCACAAGTTTATTGTTGTCTACAATCCATTTAAGGTCTTTGTCCTTAACTTTTTTTATTTTGAACAAAGACTTGTATAGTCATATCAAGTAACACCTTTATGCTGACACCTATGGATGGTGCAGAGTCTGACTGTATGGTAATGACATACAAAACAATACATGCTAAAGCTCCATCTACAGAAGTGTATTTCCAACGTTTTTCAAAGTGTCCTTTCAGTTTGTTTCCTATCTGTGACTCCAGATCTTGGAAATCTGTAATAATATCTGAGGACAGCCAATCATTGACTTTTTGATCATAATTACGATTAATATGTGATACACGTTCCTCTGGAGTTTTGCGAGAGGCAGGTACTTTCACCGATAAATAGGATGGAAGATCTGGAAAAATAGTTGGATAAGCATCTTTTTTTTAAAGCGGGATTCTTTCTTGGAAGTATATGCTCGATTCCTGATTTGTCTGTATATTTATCAGACACAATAATATCTGACGTACGAAAATGTTTTATACATACTACACTGGTTTTCCCAGGAGTCAAATTTTTCCGTGGAATATGTTTCAGCCATTTGTCTCTTAAAAAAGAATTCGAAGGGAATTTGAAGCAACTTACATATCCACTAGAAAGGTCATAATTTGAACGACACTCGGGTACAGAACATTTCGCAGGCATATTTCCTCGAAAACCAACACACTGACGATAAATCCAACGTAAATTGCAGAAATTGCTTACTAAATCTACTCCCTGAAATACCGCTTATAGGTGAATCAGACGTGAAAATTGAACCACATTAAAAACTTTCACAAGAAAAATAAAACTGAATACACACTGATACATCCATTTTGTTTGCCTCGGGAAGTGACGTCACCAGTCGAGTTTCAGGGCCTGTAATTTTCGAAGGCGTCGTTCCACCATAGTCTAATGAGAAGCCTGATCTCTGTATGTAGTCTTGTGATATTTATCAGAGATGGCTAGGGCGCACTTGGTAAAGTCTTGAAGGACATTCTGTATGGTAGATGAGTAGATGTCAGGTTCAGCCTCTGCTATGATGTATACATGTGTGAAGCAGGATATGATTGATACAGGTATTGAGATCAATTCACAGGAACAGG